AAAGAATATATCGAGAAGAAGTTGCACGAGCTAGAGACCGGGGAATTTCGAGCCGAGCCGCTAACAGAAGTGCTTAGCCGAGACGAAGTCGACCCCGAGGTCCTGCTGCCCGCCTGGGATGCTAAAGGCACCCTCTCGCTAAGGAAAGGCGGGTCTCGCACAACGATGCCCTCGGGTCCAGAGCAGCTACGGCTACGCCTCACAGTGCTAGCCAATGCCTTGATCATGATCCGCCTAAAGCACCCGTCCCGCTCGGAGCTAAAGGACGTGACGCAAGCTGTCTTCGAAAAATATAAAGAATACTTGCTGGGAGATTTTTGCTATGGGCTACGATCTAGTGAAGATTCCGGTGCTCTGGTGCCGCCGTGGCATCTGGTCCTCAGCTACGAGCACGCGATACGCAAACACAGCTACAAGCTCATGGCCCAACAGTCCCTCTCCTTCGCAGAGGCCTTGAAGCAAAGCTACAAGGATGCGGCCCTCAAGGAGCGGCACTTCACAACGCCGCTGGCCCTTCACGCTAAACGCCCGGCCCCCCCGCCCGATAGCCCTTGGATCCGACAGCCACGCAAAGGCAAGGGCACCAAGGGCGCTAAGGGCGACGGCAAGGGCAAAGGCGTGGCTAATGGGGCTACCACCACACCGGAAGGCGAGGCAATTTGCTTTCGCTACAATAGCAAGCAAGGCTGCCCGCACAAGAAAGCTTGCCGCTTCAAGCATGTTTGCCAGCTATGCTTCGCTAAGCATCCGGCCTACCAGTGCAAAGCCGGCGGCCGTCCTGTGGCTACCCCCAACTCGGGTGGCGCCAAAGGCGACGGAGGCAAGCCCTCCAACTGAAGCCCGCCGCACAGCTACAAGGTCCTCTACCTGTTTGCGGGCGAGGTTCGCCCGTGGGATATGGCTACGTGTCTTCACCACACTGCTACTGCTATGGGTCTGGACGTCTCTGTCGAGTGCGTAGACATCCTGCGTGATAAGCGATATGACCTTTCGCTAGAAAAGGTTCGCACTGCCTACTTGCAGCGGGTCGCAGCTAGAGAGTTCGATGCAATTTTGCTTTCGCCACCCTGCGCTACTTTCTCCAGAGCGGCCTGGGCGAACTTCCGTGGGCCGGTGCCGGTCAGAAGCTACGCCTGTCCCAGGGGCAACGCGCAGCTAACGGCAGCCCAAAGGGACCGAGCTATATTAGGCAACATTTTTGCTGATTTTTCTTTTGAAGTCGCTCAGCTAGTAGCCCAGGGGGCTGCCTCAGCCTTCGTGCTAGAGCAGCCAGAGGACTTAGGTGCGCTAGGCTCCGGGCCGTACAAAGGCCAGAGACCCGCATCTATGTGGCAATGGCCCCAATTTCCTGAGCTACTTTCGGCAGGCTTCCGCACGGCAGCTTTTCAGCAACGCTCCTTTGGTACAAGCTACAGCAAGCCTACTCGACTATTGCTAAAGAGGCCTCTGCATCTGCCTGACTGCTGCTACGAAGCACTGCCCGCCTTTGATTCCGAAGGCTACTACATTGGTCCCTTGCCTGCTGCTAGCCGCGAGCCGGGTCTCTTGGCGCGCAGGACCTCTACTGCTTTCGCTACCACAGGTACGGCGGCTTGGCCACCACAAATGTGCAGCTGGCTAGCAGCCTTGGTGCTCCACACGGTGGCCTCAGCTTCGACTGCTTGCGGCGAGACTTTGGGGGCCCCCGCTACGGAGCACCCGAACGCTACTCCGGAGGCTTTTCCTGTTTGCCAACCGGAGGGCCCGAGGCTACAAGGAGGTCACGGACCACCCCGTCGCTGCTGGCAGGTGGGTGGCTACAAGGACTTCCACGACGGCGGGGGACTCTGTCCCCCTGGCCGTTGGCCACCGGAGCGTCGTAACCTCGCTAGCGGCAACAACTGGGACTGGCTACGGAGCAGAATGAAGGAGGTGGTCCTTGGGAAGCTGGGCTCCGAGAAGGAGCTAGAGAAGGAGGCCTTCCGCATGGCTTCGGGAGGCGCTACGGCTTGCTCTTTGGCGTCGGACCCTCAGCTACAGTCGGAGCTCAGGGAAGTCTGGAAAGCTTGGCTAGAGGCCCAAGACCTTACAGACCCGAAGCTGCTAGAAGTGGCGGAGGGCCAGCCTCTCTATCTACGGCTCATGCGAGCGCTGCTAGAAGCTGCGGGGGACCCGGATAGAGAGTTCCTCCTGGCAGCGGAGACAGGACTTCCTGTGGGGATCCTCGACCCGCTACCTCGCACGCCTCACGTCTATGAGGAGCAGCTAAAGTGGCCGCTGGAGAATGCTCCCTGGGAGGCTTCGCTAGCGTGGGTCCCTAACTACACCTCGGTCGACGAACACAAGTCCTTTGCTAAGGAGAAGTTCGACGAGGACGTAGCCGAAGGCCTCATGCTAAAGATGACTCTAGGTGAGTTTGTCGAGAAGTACGGCGACCACAGAGCTATAGCTGCGCTAGCCGTCATTGTTGAGGACGAGGCAGCTAACAAGAAGCGCATCATCCATGATGCTACTCATGGAGTGAGAGTCAATCACCGCATCAAATGTCGTGATAAGCTACGCGCTCCAGGAGCCCGGGAGAAGAAGCAGTTGCTCCGGGAGATGCTAGCGGAGAAGAAGGTGGCCTTTTCGGTTGTTGGCGACATAGCTAAAGCCCACCGCCGCTACAAGCACCAGAGCAAGGAGCACGGCTACCTGGCATGCCAGATAAGCCTAGAGGAAGAGGTCCCCGGGGACCCCGCTACACAGACTGTCTACGTCAATCTGGTAGGCACCTTCGGCCTCTCCTGCGCAAGCTATTGGTGGTCAAGGATCGCCGCCTGCGGTCTGAGACTGGTCCACCACCTGGTGGGACCAGAGTACCCGATAGACATGTTGCTATATGCGGACGACCTGGAGTCGCTAGGCTGTGGCCCAAAGGGGAGACAGGGGATCCCGCTCAGCTACCTTTACTTCGCTAGTCTGGGCTTCCCCTTCAAGTGGGCAAAGTCGAGAGGGGGCTTCCGGGTGGAGTGGCTAGGCATGGAGACCGAGTACGCTAGCCACCGCCTGGGGCTTTCGGCACAGAGAGCAGGTTGGCTGGTCTCCTGGCTACGGAACACCGTTACAGCTGGCTACGTCACGGCCAAAGAGATGGCGCAGGGCCTAGGCAGGCTGGGATTTGCGGCGATGTCCCTAGATTGGGAGAAGCCTTTTCTCGGACCGCTATATGCCTGGTCCTCGGCGGTGCAAGGTTGCCAAGGTCCGCTAAAGTTGCCCACCATGATAAGAGTGCTCTGTAGCTGGATAGCAGATCGCCTGGAGAAGGGTGACCGGCTACAGCAGCCGACCCCGTTAGAAGTTACGGAGGCGCCGCTCAGCTTTTTCACCGACGCTAAGGCCGAGGCGGGCCGGGCCTGGATCGGGGGTTTCTTGGAGCTAGTTCCCGGCTGCCAGGGCCCTTGGTTTTCGCTGGAAGTGGAGGCTGGTTGGGCACCTTGGGCTTTCGCTAAAGGTGACCCCAACAAGGTCATTGCGGCTCTAGAGCTACTGGCAACCCTTGTTGCAGTTCGGCTTTGGATCCCAGAAGGCAGGGCTAGGACCTTGTCCCGTGTGGCTCTGAGAGGCTATACGGACAACCAGTCCAACGAAGCTCTGCTAAAGAAGCTTATGACCACAAAGTTTCCTTCGGGGCTAGTCCTTATGGGGCTAGTCCTTATGGAGCTAGCAGAAGAGCTGGAAGCTAGAAACTGCGAACTCCAGCTACAGTGGGTCCGCCGTGACCTGAACCAGCTAGCAGACGACCTGACGAACGAGAAGTTTGATCACTTCTCTCCAGAGTTCCGGGTCCCGCTAGTTGGCAGCGAACTTCGGTGGCGAGTCTTGGGCAAGCTGCTAGAACACTCTGCAAGCTTTTTCGGCGAAGTTAAGAAGAGGAAAGCAGCTAGGTCGGTGAAACCGATGCGTTTCAGAAAGAAGCCCAAGAAGCTAGAACCCTGGTAGCCCGAGTGGCGTTGCTAGGAGTTTTGCTAGCTCGAAGCTAGGCATCTCCGGGCTACAGGGATCTGCCGCCACAGATAAAACAATGCGTCTCAGTCCGCCCACTCTTTGTGCTAGGAGGTGCAGGGGTGGACGGTGGGATCGACGTAGGTTGCTAGTGCACGCTTCTTGTAACGAGGGACGAGGGACAACTGTGTGTGCTAGCAACCCGAAGTTCCTCCTTCGACATCGAAGGTGTCGACAGCTAAAACATCGAAGGTGTTTTCGCTAAATGTGTTCTATCCGTCGCCGTTACGGCTAGAACCCCTTTGGGGGGTAGAAGATTTTCAGAGTACCCACCCAACCCTCCCTGGAGTTTTGCTAGCTCGAAGCTAGGCATCTCCGGGCTACAGGGATCTGCCGCCACAGATAAAACAATGCGTCTCAGTCCGCCCACTCTTTGTGCTAGGAGGTGCAGGGGTGGACGGTGGGATCGACGTAGGTTGCTAGTGCACTCTCTGTTCCGTCGCCTTCTTGTGGAGTATCGATTTTTGGATCATCTTGCTTCGCTGGATCTCTGCTTTCGACGTCGGGTAGCTGACGACGCCAGTTCCCGGATGCTTGTGATTTGGCAAGCCCATGTGTGTAGTTCTTAGTTCGGGGGTTCGGAAATTCGCGGTCGTTCTCCCCCCGCATGATTTGCCAGTCATGCGCCATGCCATCCCAAAGCAGTCCAGACAACTCACAACTCAGACTCGGACCATTTTTCTTCTGCTTCTTCGTTTTGATGTTCCTGTTTCTCTTGTCTTCTCTCGAGGTCATGAGCTAGCATATAGCAAGTTTTATTTGTGATGAGACGGGCCAGCCTTACAGCCCGCTTTCCCAGGAAAGTTTGGTCAGTGCGGAAGCAGACTTCCGCATCACACTGCTGCCCTGACTGCGTTAAGACCGGTGCCTGTGGTCTTTGCGCGTTGGTCATTGCAAATGTTGGGTTCCGCAGTCCCTAAGCCCAAGAGTAGTCTGATCGTAAGTGTTGCGTTGCACTCTGAAGGCTCTTCTTTCCCATGCTGGCAATGGCCTCAGAGCAGAGCTGCAGAACTGAAGGTCCGGGCCCGGGCCGCATGTGATATCACGTTTGCCTCAGAATCTCTGAGGTCATGCTGCGGCTCTTCAAGTCCTTCCATGCCCAGCCGCGCCTCGTCACTTGGCAGCGAGATGCCGGCAGCTGAAATTGTCACGCGGACATGTCAGCACCGCCTGAGCGAGGCCATCGTGACGAAGACGATCATCACTGCCAGCCAAGATTTGCTGCACTTCTTCATCGTCCTGTTATCCGTCTACACTTGCATGGCAGTTTTCGGCTACCTCTTGTTTGGACAGGATGTTGAGGATTTCTCGACTTGGGACCGACACGAGGCTGCAATATTCCCATGTGACTTAAAGTAGAAGCCAGAAAGTTGGAACATGACTTTAGGAGGATTAGTGCTAGGATCCCTTATACTTTACCTTGAGGCCATGAGGGTAATGATGTTCCAACTTTCTGGCTTCTACTGTAAATCGACTGTTGCCGCATCAATGATAAGCGCCTGCATTGTTCGAGGCATCAAGCGATTTTCAGCATAGTTCGTTGCATCCTGCTCGCGACTGACTGCAGAGGTGTATGCATTACGTGCTTTCGTGCGCTGCTTGGAGAATGGGACTGGGCTTCTCGACGGATTGCAAGCCCTTGCCAGGTCAGTCCTTGTGAAAACCCTCTGATCCACTCTAGTTCAGCATTCTTCAGCAGATTCTCGCTGCACAACAGATGTGGCCTAAGGAGGAGATGGAAACTGTGGGCCGGGTTCTAGCGGCGATTTGGCTCTGGTGCTTCGTCGCTCGCCTCGGGCAGTAGAAAATTTTGGTTTGGATACCGCACTGCGGCCTCGGAATCTTCGCGCTGATATCGCTTCCCAAGGTTGTGCTTGTGGTGTTGCTGCTCCTTAACATGGTGCTGGCAATATTGATGGATGCTTACCAAGCTGCTCGGCCACTTCCGTTGACGGGCGCGACGCCAGCACACACAGTGCTTTGCCGAGGTCGTGAAGTCGAAGGCCTCCGTTATGGTGACAGTTCCGCAGCAGATCTCCGAGATGCTGCGGCGCCGGCGCCTGAACCGAGAGAAGAAGACCGACTCTGAGCTGCACCGAAATGGAGAATCTGGTTGTCTTTGGCCAGCCTTCTGCCGACGGGGCTCGGGCATCGGGAATCAGAAGGTACGGCTGGTGGAGATCTGGTTTGCCTACCTGGAGCAGTTCCAGTCACACCGAGAAATGTTCGAAAGCGAGGCGGGGTAGCTTCGTAAAGTGATTCGCAATGGAGGCATGTGCACCCCCCCTCAGTTTACACCTCTTGTTTCAAAAAGCAAAAACCTTGGCGACCATGTTGAAGCCTTGGCAGAGCCCCAGCATTGGCCAGAAGCAGAAAGTATGAAGTTATTTTGCACAGGTCCTCGTGAGGCCCGAAGACTTGGTGAAGGTGGTGCCAGGTCTGCCACTGTCTCAAGCCAGAAGAGTCTCGGTGGCAGAAGTGCCGTGTTTTTCCAAGGCTCAGTGGGAGATGTATGATGGACGCAAGGGGCATAGGACGGGGGTACCATGCTCCGAGGAACGCTGAGCAGTGCCCAGAGGGTCTGGAGGGAGACCAATGACGTGCACTATGGCATGGAGAACATGCGCATGCAGCTCAAGATGTGCAATGGAAGAGCAGCTGGTCCTAAAGTAGAGGGATGGTCTCCAGTCTCAACATCCCTCGACCGCTTCGCAGTGTACTTGCCGTAGTGGCTGGAACAGCCAGGTGGTAAATACTGTAGCTTTCAAGTCATCCCGCTTCTTTGTTGCCAACATTGCAAGCCAATAAAGCGCCTCAGCTGGCCTTCGGCTCAAGGTCAAAATTCTTCAGGAAGAGGAGCCTCGTATGCACCGATATCTCAGAACCTCGATCATCCGCAGAAACAGTTCTTTTTGCTGCAGCTGCGAGGTGTCTGCCATTCGCGTGGCTGTGGAGGAAGCACGGGATGCTTCGGGAATGCTGCCAAGCCCGACTCATCTAGGCCTCCCGCCAGGTTCAAGGTCATGCGCAGGTAACGAGAATGCCAACGGTGCAGGTCTAAAAGAAAGTACCTTGAGGATCGTGGATGTCTTGAAAGACACCGCGTCTCGGTGTGCCTGAGTCCAGTTTTGACCATGTGTGTTCACGTAAAGGCAAGAATACAATGCAAGAAGTGCTTCAGGTCGGAGGCCTGCGATCGCAAGTTCATGGCGTGCCTCGGAAGAAGCTTGTACTGGCATCCATCCTGTCCGACTTCAGCAGAGCTAGACTCTGTATATCTCTCTCGTTTTCGTTCGCGTACTTCGTCCCTCCGTTATCCGAGGTTCTAGAGGAGGAATGCAACATCTACGAGTTGGGTCATCGCCAACTTCAAGACGATCAGCGTGACGGGCCGTCCATTAGGTCTATGTTCGCGGCGCCTTTAAGACAGTAGGAAATGCTTTGTTGCTTCTCTGGCAAATGGTGTATGGACTGAAGGTACCATGAGAGTGAACCTTGGCGGCACCAGCAGAGCTACGAATCTCGTGATTGACACAGTTCTTCTGCGAAAACTGAGGTGTGCGCAGGATGCCAAGGCCTGGACAGGGTGCTTCGCGACCGTGTGTCTCTTGGCGGCTTCGTGACGCAGGCGAAGTTGAGAGCGATGCTCGAAAGATTGGAGGCGGGCGGGCTTTTCGGATATCGCCGCAGCTTCGTTTGCGATTTGTCTCGGCAGGGCCTGAGCGCTACCTTGGAGGAGCATGCCACCAAGGCCGGGTCCAGCCCAGTCGGAGCACTGCATTCCGCTGCTGTCAGAAACCCTGCTGGCGCTCAGGAGCAGGTTCACTCCGTCTTTGGCTCCGCCGTGGCGACGCGGGATCCCCAACCGAGCCTGCTGGCCGGCCTGCACCGCCACCCGGCGAGAAGATCCATGGTCCAGTGGTGCTACCGTCAGCAGCTTTTCTGGAGCATGAAGCATGTCGCTGCAGGCAGTCTGGCAATGTGCTCTGAACCCACGAGGGGTCAGATCATATCGTGAGGTAGCGACTGATGTGGAAACGATTGCGAGTTTGGGATGCGTGCTAAATCGAGCTGAGCACAGAATATTGATAGTGTGACTTGACGGGCAGCGTTGTAGCCTCGAGAGAAGGAGTTGCTGCTGTTTCGGAGCACAGCTCGTGTTTGGCAAAACGCGACAATCGCCGTATGTCATGTAAATAAGCCTGCCGTGTACACAAGAAGTATCCGGCATACTTCGAGAACTCTTCGGTGGCGCGGCTGAATGCCTGGCCTAGTGCAATTGGCTCACAGTGTTTCGGATGTTCTCAGTGTGTGTGTGGCAATCATCCAGCAATGCCATCAACATAAAGATAGCACGTGTCAGAGACACTGCTGTTGCGGCCCAAAGTGGTTGTGACTGCCGATCTGGGCAAGCTCCCGAGCCGATCCCCATCTGTCCTCTTCGAGGTAGAGGGCGTAGAGTCGTATCGTCGTCGTGGGGAGCGTTGGAAGGGTCCGTGCTCAGAGGGCGGTGCCAAAACTGCTGTTCGTGGCCTCTTTGCCTCTGTTCGTAGGTCTCTGCCTCACGAAGTCCAGCCTCGGCTCGGCGGTGGCCGCTCGTGCCTTGGAGAGTGGGGGAGCCAAAAGGCAGCTCCGAAAAGTTCCTAGAGATTACTAGAGTTTGATGATGACACTTTAGTTGACGACTCCGGCATACTATGTGACAACGATGTGTTCTTCCCCACCGTTCTGCTGCTGCTGGGAAGCTCCGAGGGCGCCCGCTCCAACACCTCCGTGCAGACGACGTTCTGGCCCGGAGCTCAGAGGTGCCATGCCGACCTCTCGGAGCGAGCGGAGGAGAGGCTTGTGTTCGGTGCTTTGAGGTCGAGGCTGTGGTCTTTGAGGCGGTGCTACTCTTCACTGCTCCGCAGGTACCGAGCAGCGGATTCGAGCAGCGGTTTCTCTCGCCGATGTTCTCTTGAGGGCCTGCTCTGCTGGCTGCTATGCAAGCCTGTGACTGGTTCCAAGCCTTGGACACCGCAGCAGTCTTTGGCTCTCCATTCCGCAGCTAAGAGAGCTGCGGTTTGAGAGCTACTAACAGGCTTTAGCTCAGCTTGCCTTTTGGCAGCTTGGAGGCAAACAGTGCTTGCATGCAAGAATGCTTTTTCGGCTGCTTTCCGCATGAGGTGCTGAGCTTCTCCAAGAAGAGGCCAGGTCGAAGCAAGAGGAACCGCAGAAGACTCCTCATTTTTCGCTGTTGCTAAGTTGGCTTGATCCCTCTTTCGCCGTGCGGCACGAGGTGTAATTTCCAACGATCGCCATGAGCATGGCGCAGACGGCATCTTCAAGCTACTCCTTCAGCTCCGCGCCGAAGGCTGTGACCGCACGGAAGAAGTATCGGGAGCCCGGTCCCGTCGACTCCGGTCTCTACCGCAGCGTGCCTCGGCCCGCCTCGGTTCGGTGAGCATTCCTTGTCGGGCCCTGGCCTTCTTCGCCTCCCGAAGTTAAGAGTTCTCAGGTGAAAGAGACATGCATCTCCTGGGACAAGCGTGTCCACCGTGGCAACACCTACAGCATGTACACGCAGAATGCCATCAAGGAGGCAGCCTTGCCTTCGAGTACGTTATGTGTTTCGGAGCTTGGGGCCCGGGGGGTTTCGGCAATGAGAAGGCCATCGAAGCGGCTCAGCAGTCACAGGCCTGGACGCCTGGTCCTTCTCAGTTTTGGAACCCGAGCTCTTGTCGTGGAAGGTTTCGCCGAAGGTGGCCAAGAAAAGGAGGCCCAAGGCGCCCAAGTGCAAGTGAGCAGACTGCGGAGCGTCGCAGCGTCTTCGTTCGCAAGCCCTGGCTCTGCAGGAGAAGTCCATCTTTGACATGCCCCTGCCCGAACACGAGCGAGTGCCCGTCGACCTCACGAAGCACCTCATAGCCAGCGAAGAGCCACTGCAGGTGGGTCGATGGGGCCGTTCTTTCTCTTTTGCGGCTTTAGATTGTCTGTGCCTTTCGGCTTCAGGTGGAGGTCGTCGAGTGCCAGACAGACGAGTTCTTGCCAGAACCGCCCCCGGAGCAGTACCAACCACAGAGGCCCGGCATGGCCCAGCATATCCGCGGCGAATCTTCCCGTTGTGGTTTTTTGTTCAACGGATTCAAAACACAGTCGCCGTTGCAGGACTGGCATTGATGCCTCCACCCAGGTGGAGGCGCGAGCAACGTCATAAGATCTCCAGATAGCCGCGGAACGTGCACGACCGCTTTGGACGGTTTCGCATTGCTGTCAGTTTTACACAGTCGTGACCCAGGTTGTGAGAAACCATGGCTGTCCACCATCCCTACTGGGCACTGATTGTAACTGCACGGTGCCATACATTCCTTTCGAGGGTATTTTGGACATGGATGGCTTTTTCCCACTTACGGAGTCGAAGGACGGTGAGCTCTTCGACTTCGATGCAGAAGTGGAGCCTATCTTGGATGTGCTCGTCGCACGGATGCATCAAACAAAGCAGATGTGCAAATACGTGGAGCTGGGCTCGGTGTGATTCGAGAATTGTGCAACGTGAAGCTGGTGTCCCAGGTCATGAAGACCCTGGAGCAGTCCGTCATGGAAGTAGAGGAGGAGCACGAGCTCTCGACCATGACCAGTTTCAAGGGAGCGTGGTACGAGAGGCGCAAAGTGAAGTAGCGAGCGCGAGAGCGACATGCGTGGCGGTGTTTTGCGCTGTGCCGTGCTGTCAGGCAGAAGAGCATGATGGCGGCTTGGCAGGAGCAGGTCGAAGAGGACCCCGGACGTCTCTCCAAGTCGGTGTGTATCTCCGTTTCGCCGTGTGACAGGAGTGGGTGCGGTGGCACCAGAAGGAGGCCGTGATGGCAGCCCAGAGGGCTCAGAAGGAGCGCGAGGCTCGCGTGCTCCTCAAGAGCCTCGCAAGCACTCGTGGAACTTCCCATTCCGTTTTGCTTGGCTTCCTTTCGTCACTTTGGGGGTGGCTGTCGTCCGAGGATCCAGGCCGTGAACGCCGCGAAGGGCCACCTGGCCAACCTGGTGCCCAATGCGGTGGAAGATCTCAAAGAGGTGGCCTTCCCAGACAGCCGCGGCCTGGCAATTCAGAGGCCTGCTCTATTGGCCATGGAGATGAGATGTTGAGCGTGGTCTTTCCGTGCAGGAACTTCATGCAGGGCCTTTTCCAGCAGGTCCAGCAGGAGGTCTCGGCAATCAAGCGTGCGCAGCAAGAGGCAGCCAGAGGGCTACGCAGAAGTAGGTAGGCAAAGGGTACTTGCCACTGGCTTCGAGAAGAGGCCCTGTAGCCACGTCGTATGCAGGTGGATGAGATCGTGGCCCATGGTGTGGCAGCGCAACAGGCAAAGTGGTCGGCCAGCCTGCAGGGGCAGAGGGAAAAGTTTGCGGGCATGGAGAAGCTGCGGTTAGAGGAGCTGCAGCGCCTTGGTTCCAATCATTCTGCAAGACCTTCTGGGGGCAGGTTGGCAGGCTTCACCCAGGTGCCTACGAAAGGCAGCAGCCGCTATGCTCAGGATTCGCCGTGGCAAAATACGAATCCTCATCGATGATGGCAGCGGAAACCCCGTGCCTGTTGGGCCGATCCAACTGTCATCGGCGGATCCAGTGGAAGAGCTCCAAGCCCGAGTGTGCCTTGGCAAGTATTAGCTGAGGCTTAGGCACCTAGGTGCAGCTAGGACCTCGGCCTCGTAGGCCTAAGCTTGAGTCAGCTGGAGTCCTCGATGTTCAGTGCAGAAAGCAGGTCGTGAGTGTTGAGGTACGTGTGGCTTCAGCAGAACGAGCCCAAGATTGCAGCGGCGTGGCCTCACGGCGTCGTGTGTCTTGGCTAGCTCTCTCGCAGCCTGGAGCATGTGAAATTGTCGAGTGCCTCGCATAAGCTTCGCGATGCGATGGCAGCGAGGCTGCGGCTCAGTGGAGAGCCTGTGCAGCAGACGAAACAGCTCTTCGAGGCTCTTGGGATTTGCGAGGAAAGTTCGGTTGTGTCGGCCTCTCGGCAGGCTAAGCCCGGGCAGATCTCCATGGGGCCGCAGGACGAAGAGTCTGCATGAGACAAGAGGCGGCCAGAGTAATGCCTCTTGCCTCGTCCAGGAGCCGCCGCCTCCCCCAGAGGCTGAGGTAGACGAAGCGGCGGAGGGGGAGGAGGAGGAGCAGGTGGAGGCCCGACGCCAGCATCCTTTACCCCGGGCCCTGAAGTCCGTATCGAACTGCCAACGCAGTTGCAAGAGCAGTACGAGAACGGCATGTAGCACCTTCGCAGTGTTATTTCGGCAGGCAGCCTGAGGCCATTGCTCGGCATAGGCCGGATCGGGAGCTGGGTGTCTGTCCCAAGTCACAGTTGCATGTGCAGAAATGCGCAGAAGTTGATTGGGCCCATGCTTAGAGACTCAGAAATTCCTGTTCCACAAAAGTGATGCATTTAGTTCTGGATGGAACAGACTGGAGAGATCGTGAGACAACCAACTTGACCCAGACTTTGGGAATCCACTCACGACTATGCCACTCGCTCGCCAAGAGTGCTTGTTTTCTTAGTGCATTTAGTCGCAGTCTGGCACCTAGGTAAAAACACGATTTCGCCAAAGCACATACGCACTCTTGTGAAGGCAGTCAGTGACCTTCACAACCTGGAAGAAAATCCATGGCACATGCATATCGCGCATGGACCAGCGTTTCATTGACTTCGCAAAATTCAGCTTGTGACGAGCTTTAGGGTGTTGTCAAGGCCGTTACTAGAAGAAGTTTGTCGTTTGGGGTTCAGTATGTTATGAGTCTCGGAAGCACCGAAATCACGCTTTACACCGTACTGGGTGCTGCAGGTTGCAGATGAAGAAGGTGCAGAATTTGTTCCAAAGCTGCTTCGATGTCAGCTTCTGCTTCGTCCAGCCGCCCATAGTGGCGTGCTGCTTGAGGCTAGAACACAACCGATGCTGGAGGTTGTCTCAAGATGACATCCAGTGCTGTACTGCAGCTGCGGTCTACTGCATGCTGCGATGTGTGAATGTTTTTCGTTCCACGGGGCTTGAACTGACAAGCCGCTGGCTCCAGTTTCACCAACCAGCTGTTGAGATATTGGACTCCAGAAGAAAAGGGCCCTGGGAACGTTGCCACAGCCGCGCAACCTGTCCCGAAGCGGGGCGGCATTGGGCCAGGTGCTCCCGCATTTCGCAGCCCGGGAACTTGGCCAAGTCTTGCATCCGCAGGAATGTATGAAGATTATGAAGCCAGTACCAGTAGAAGTAGGTAAGGACTTTGCCCTGACGTTCCGCCTGCTTTGTGACAAGATTGCACGGGTGTAGTAGTAGTCGTCGTCGGATCCGAGGCAGTCCGAAGCCGAGAGCTTGCCAGGCACCAGGGCTGCACAGTGCTGCACAGTGGACGCAGAGTTTCAAGGGATTGCCTTAAACCAACCCTCGGACCATAGGCAAGCCATATCAACAGTCATGCAATGAATTCTTTGCTGGAAGGCGCATCAGCGCCCTGGGTCGAGGAGGTTTGGCCGCTTTCGTGCCAGGAGCCACTAGAGTCACTAGATGCCGCCTGGCAGTGTCCCAGACGAACCTTTCAAGACGCAATCCTTGGAGGACATCAAGGAGGCCTGGGTGCGTGCCTTTATGGACATGTCGCTCATGGTGGCCGGGGCCGCGCCAGTGCCTCGAAAATTCGGAAAGAAACACGAACTTGAAGCTTCGAGTCGAGCTTGTGAGAGAGACGAAAGGACCCGGGCTTTGTCTTTGCGCTGCTGGGCTCGAGCTTCTTGCTTGTTCATGCATACGCACCCTCAACCCTTAGCATGTCCTCCTGCCCCGTCCTCGCAAGTAGAGGACAGCTGCGAACAGAAGAGCAAGGAAGTTTACAGCATTGCAAGTGCAGCAGCTGGAATGACCCTCCCAGACAGTTGGCATCCACGACGTCAAGCCTTTGCCAGTGGCTGGGATTTGGTCTGAGCGCGCCGTGCCCTGCCTGCCGTGCTTCATGGCATGTTGTCCCTCGCTTGCAAGACAGCACATTACTGGCTTCTGTGAAGCTTACACGATCTTACACGCTTAGCCTAGGTATGGGCTGCAGCCAGAAAACATGGCAGCAGCTGCTCGTTGTAATGCGTGCCCTGGCGAGATTTGTGCCGGCAGTGTCCTGTCGTTATCGGAGTTCTGACTCGGTCCGCGCATGCTTTTCTCCGATGCACTGCCTGGGTTCAGAAGACTTCATGTCTCAAAAAATTTCCTGAACATCGCAACCATAACAAGTTTGGGATGTTTTGGGATTATATGCAGAGCATCGGAAGGCTGTGACAAAGACTTTTTCCTCCTTTGTGACGGTCACAGACTCACGGACTCGCGCTCGCCCAGAGTTCCCGCATTCCCACGGCATCACCACCGTACAGCGCCATTCTCAAATAAACTTGTTTGACAGATTTCTTGGTGAGATGTGAGCTGTGTCTGATAGTGATTGTTTATTCGACATGAAAATGCGCCGAGGGCATTCGGAGCGGCTAGATTTTGCAGATGAGGATGCTTGGTTCCAGTGCTTGGGCAGCATGAATGTGAGCAACTGCTTTGCGCTCTGGCCGTACCAATCGAAAATGCGATGCAGTAAGGCATCCTGATTCCCGCAGCTTCCCGATGGACCCGCCAATCACAACTCGAGGTGGGTGAACCAACGTGATGTGGGGCTCCTGTAGTGTTTCCACTAGGAGATGAAAAATGAAGCACACGCCTAGCACCTTTCACGTGCCATGGCACATGAACGGACTGCGTACACCTTCGCCGCTTCGCTGCCTCTCGCAGGCAAGAGCTTGGCCAAGTTCCAAGGGCAGACGCTGACCGAGTTGTGCAACAAGCTGGGGACACCGATGCTTGGAGGCACCTATGCAACTTTCGGTGTCTTTGGCTCGGTGCCATGACAAGCACGTCCTGTGTCGAGGGATGGGGCTGGACTGATCAGAGTGATGGTTGAGGATCGACGTCGTGATCACCTCGCCTTTCCATCGGTGTGTGCAGACGGCGGCCGCCATCATCGAGGTCCTGCCCTTGCGAAACGGCAAGAAGGCCTGCGCACTTTGCAGACGATGCGCAGCAAAAGAAAGCCTTGGCACGGCGAGGTGCCGATACTCATCGACTGCGAAATCGCAGAGGCTCTGAGCCTCGAAGCTTTTGGCGTTTTGAAAGGGAGTTTGCCGATTCGAGCCAGGCTGTCAAGCAGAGTTGTTGGTGTCTCCGGAAGTGGAGTTGCCCTTGGCGTTTTGAAGGTGGGTCTCTATAAGAAGCCGCCCGGGATCAGCGACCCTGGGCTGCTTGGCTGCAGCTCTCGCCGAAAAACGAAGGGAAGGAGAGACAGCGCCAAGGCTCATCAAGGCCCACCAGGAGTTCTGCAGCCGTCGGCGCACCTTCGACGAGGTGGCAGAGCTGCCGGACCTCCAAGGTCGGCGCAGGGCGTTCAGGGGGTTTCGATCGGGGTTGGGGTTTTGGCGGCTTCGGATTCCGAGCATCTGCCATGTGCCTAAGAATTCCATGCTTCGGGAGGAATAGAAAAGCTCAATGCCAACTCGTTTGCCGGGAGCTCAGCGGCCTTGCAGTGGCTTTGGCGACGCCGCTGGACCATCCTGTCAATCCACTCAGGCTCACACAGCAGGTTTATTAGACTATTCCGTACAGATGCCGGGAGGGTATAAAGGAGCCTCTATGGTGATGCCAATCTGCGTCGACTTTCTTTCAGATAAATATGAGGCAATATTGACACAGCAACTGCAGTAAGATTCCAGCTTGTTTCGTGAAGCACGCGCTATGTCAGACACGATTTCTGAAAGCCAGAGGGCGTGGTAGAAATGTCTTACGGCCCTAAGTTGGCCTTTCTTTTTTGTCGATCCTGCTACCCTGGCGGGTGTAGTGCTGCTTCATGCTCTCAAGCCTCGTGCAGACACAGAGAGAGAGAGCGAGAGAGAGATAACTCCTACAAGGAAGCCAAAAACAACCCGTGAATAGCGGGTGTGCGCTGCGCACGAGGGTCAGAGCCTGGATGCTGCTCTGCCCTCGAGCCCGGTAGAGAGAGAGAGAGAGAGAGAGAGAGAGATGCATTCAGACCTGCAGAGCAGTGCACCCTTGCGTGCAGAGGGGTGGCTCGATCGCTGCTCCTTTGGTCTGTGTGGAAGAAGACATGTATTCGGTAGTGTTCTCAACCACGGCTGCTTGAACAAGCATTGCAGTACATGCAATGTCTCTTATCACCCAGGTCGGCATCGCGCCCCCCTTCCCCGAGCAACGGCGCTCGGCCCACATCCGTGGCCTCTACCGCTTCGCGGCCTCTTGGCGGTCCTGGTAGAATAGGGATTTAAGCCCAAGTAGGCACATACGTGTAACTTTCCCATTGTACAAATAGGGCTCAGTTTCCTCACATGTGCTGGTGAGCAACGCTCAGCCTCGGACAAGCAACGCACATGTGTGAAGGCGAAGAGGAGGTACTGATCAGCCAGTATGGAGGTGCAGGAGCACATGATAGATGTTCGTAATGTTGTGCTTGCGCATGCGTTTCTATTGGTGGTGTAGGTACATGAATAAATGAATGAAATGAATGCATGAATTAATGAATGATTGAATGTGTGTATGTACAGGGAGGTAGGGAGTTGTATGGAGGTAGGTGGGCAGGTAGGTAGATGTTTTTTCGGGTCGCATGTGTGCGTACATGAGCCCGCATATACATGTAAGTAAGTAAGCAGGTTTTTGAGTATGTACGTGTGTGTGTGTCATGTACGTATGTGTGTATGATTGTGCATATGTGTATATATATAAACATGTCTTTGTTAGTTGAAGAGCAAAAGACGAATAGGCCAACGACAACACACAGATACGGATGACATATTCCTTGCGACATATATGTATGTACGTATCTGTGTATATGTGTGTCTGTCTATTTGACGAAAACGAAGACACACATGCATGCATACATGCTAGCACACACACATATATCTATGTATGTATGTATGCGTATACAAACAGACACACACACATACACAAAGTATATTTATGTGTGTATATATATATATATGCATACACACAAAATTCACGTAGTGGCGGACGGACAAGTTGGGACAAGCAGACACATCTGAGTGCTTGCGTGAAGTGGAGTAATGGCGCAAAATGAATGCAGCAGCATGGTATCACAATTTATAGCACCGAGAAATCGCCGTGTTATGCATGTGAGTACAACGTTGTCGTGCATCGTCAGGGACGGAGGCAGTAGCACCGGCGTAGCACATCCTCGACTTTGATTCCGATCGCCACCATCTCAAGGAATGGCTGGAAAGGGGGAGATATGCGCGACTCAACTTCCTTATAGTCACCCACCAGGCCTGGTGTCCAGCATATTGTGACCTCGGTGGACACCTGCAACATCGATCCAACGTTGTGCCTGCAATCCTGGCAGCAGGATTTGGTGCACACATTCTGCTCAATGATCAAGCCCGAGGTTTGCATCGTAACTTGGTTGGTGGTAAAGCTGTGACGGCGTTCGACATGTCAGCTCGTTTCACGTTGTTGTTGTTGTGCTTCGCCCAGCACGTCGCCTTAGGAGTGGGTGAAGTACTGCGGCTGGGGTGCTGCCTTTGTCAAGCGCAAGGACTTTGGTAACCTTTCGGCAGCTTGGCTTCCCCCAAAGCCGAACTTCTCATCGCGACTGAAGCCAGGCAGCCAGGGCCCAGCGCCACCATCTTTTGGTCTCGTTGCTCAGGCCGACGCGATCCAGAAGCGGAGCACCAAGCCGCCCCCCCCGCTGCATTCCCTGCAGATCACTTCAGAGCTCGGTGACCGGGTTGCAATACAGTGAACCTGATCGTCGGTTGCTTTGCAAATGGAAAGGTGACCCTAGACCAAGAACTGAAGCGGCCGGACTGGTGCTCATGACCCCTTAAGGCTCTGGTGTGCGTTGGTCACCATACACCGTGGATCCTCGCACCGGCAACCAGTTGCTCGGCCAAACAAGGGCAAAGGTTGACGACGTCGATTACTTGTGAGTGTTGTTCACTAAGTCTTCGCTGGTACCCTGCCGAAGACGAGACTGGTGTGGCAGCCATTGCCGCCATTTTCTCCAACCAGCAGAGTACTGAATTGCAGGAAATGAAACGCGCCTTGGCTGTAAACTGTATGACCTCAGTGATTACTTCGCCTGCTGTGTTGTCTCATGTTGCTCGAGATGTTAAGTTAAGTGAGCCTGACCCAAGCAAGGTGGAGACAGGTTGTCTTGAAACGTAACTCCTTTGGTCCTTTGGGTTGCAAATTTCTGCATGCCAGTTTGAGTTTCGCCCCTGCACCAGGCTACGCGGACACGCAGGCCGAAGCGGCGCCATGGCTTGGAGTCAGCCGTGACGTTGGTTCTTGCTCCCTGCCAGGCCTTGCAACGTGCCTTCCGGGGTGGCAAGACATTTTCGCTCATCATGTCGGCCGCGAACAGCAGGTACAGCCCAAGCCAAGATGGGTGATGCTGCATTGCACAGCTTCCTCCCCATGCAGTCCCTTAACGCCGCTCGGGCAGGTCGGAAAACGAACTTGAGGATAATGTCCGCGACAAGCCGCCGTCGAGTCCCGGGGGCAAGTCAGGTGCTGCATGCTGGTCTTACAGCCGGGTTTCTTGCAGGTGGCATCATAAGGATGCATCTTCCGCTGGTAGCTTGCTAAGGACGGAGGACATTGACATTGCGAAGCTGGAGATCAGTGACGCTTACGAGAAGGTGCGCGCAGGCCACATTTGTGCTGAACATGCCAGACTTCGTGCACTAAACGAAGGTCATGCTCAATAGCACCGTTATGGAACCGCCCAAGCGCTCGACTTCCGAGGAGGAGATGGCCGCCTGGCCCAAGTGTTGTAGGCAATTTAAAAGCTTGGTGTCTCTCAGCCTTAGGATCTTTGGGAGTTGTGTTCAAGCAAATGGTGGCTCCCCTGAGGTGAGCTGTGAGCGCAGTGCGACAGTCATGGCCCGGAAGCAGCCTGCCTGCATTTACCCGGCTTTGGGCTTCTTTCCAAGGCAACACAGGCCTGTGACGCAAGAGATCAAGAACGACACGCTAACCTAACTTAACCTTTCTGATCTAGCCGGACTTTGATTAATAGAGGTGCAGGGGACAGTATTGGTCCTCAGCGTGAGTATCCCATGTGATATTGCATGCTGTTCCCTCAAACATTCGGATTCTGCATGAGTTGGCGATCCGAGCCTTATCTTTGTAAAGCGTCTGGAAAACCAATGCTGAGGATTGAGCCCAGGCCGACCTGCCTCTTTGCCAGTCGGAGCTGTGGCCTCGCAGATAGAGGGCTTTGTCGTCATCTATCAGAATCTATGCAATGCCCGATGGGAACCAGTTTTGCCTGTTTGCAGATGATGTGTGTTGGCATGGCTTTCAGAGTGGTGGGTGCCTGTTGCAGTTGGGCAGATCTCCTCGTGTTTGCCTATTTGGCTCAGACGGGCGACTCCGATTGCCCCCACCGATTGCCCCCATGTAGCAATGAATCTCGGCAGCATAGACTAAACGGTCCGCTGTCTTTGCCTTGTGCGTGCATGCTTGGCCCCACAGCATGCAACCTAAGGAAGTGCTTGGCACGCTTGCTGGTTCTGAGTAGCATAGCGTGCTATGGATTGGCCATCAAGGCTGCATGCAGCTTTTTCACAGAACATGTGCGGCATGAGATTCGTGGAGTTTCCATTGCGAGTACGTTTGCGCAAGTCCTGTTGTTGATGTCGCGAGGCTCGCGGCGTCCACCCGAACCTGACGCCGCTATTTAACGTGAAGGCCCAGCGTAAACAGTTAGAGTCGCCAAAGCTATCAAAGCAAAGGCACACCGAAGTTCATCATGAATTTCGCTGCTTGAAGTTGACAGCATCTGATCCAGGCGACTTTCGATCGCAAGCATATCGACAAGCTCAAGGAGACACACTCAGCATGCCATCAGTGTCCTATCCGCCAAGTGCCTTTTGTATGATCGCTGTTAAGCAAAATGGATGTGTCATGGCGCTGCGAATACTCTGGATGCATCGGTTGCAGTCGCTGCGCTGCTCCTTGTGCAGTCAGCCAATTCTGAGTAGCTTCGTGCTTCTATGGGTGCGGTATAAGGCGCGGGGTATCACAGTGAAGCTGCTCAGGAAGGATTTCCGTCACCGCCATAACCATTTCATCGTTATCATCGCAACCAGCAAGTTTCCTGTTGCAATTCAAAGAGTGTTCTCATGTGACCTACCCGTCTCATCGAGTAAGGAAGTAAAGACACGGTTTTCGGACTCCCGGTAAAGCATACTTGGTTGGCAGCTGGCAAGATGCAAGTCATCCCGAAAAAGCTTTCTTTTTTGGAACCCTGTTTTGCGATCTTGGCCGATGCAGCTTTGCATTAGCTCCCCTCCCCGTCTCTGTTGTGTTGCTACATGTTTCGTGATTTCCCCACAAGTCGACATGCAGGGGCTCTCGGCCACCCTGGACAACGAAACCAACCAGATCGTGTTGGTGAATGCTGTGGAGGATTGAGGAGGTGTGTTCTATCGAATGCATGCCAGCATCCCGTTCTTGAAGGAACATGCAGTGTCTTGGGCGCGACTCGCCGATCGATTGAGCGCAGTCGGGCTGCAAAAAGGTTTCATGACAGAGTGCAAGATGTAGCGATGCAGAATTCTTCACTTCACCGTGCTTCAGCAAGTCTGAAGGAAACCGGCTGGATAGAGCTGCATGTCCGGCCCTCGCCCAACCGTCCGTGCATTCCATCTTTGCCCAGAGCCATTGGAACAGTCCGTGGGCTTTGGTTCACACTCAAGAAACTTCAACGCAGTCTGTGCGAGGTCAGCACTCCGAAAGGTGCTTTCTTCTCCAACGATTTGAAAATGTACAGCGCAGGGTCCTGCCAGCTGGTTGCCGCCCATGTGCAGTCGTCTGGTCTCTGTTCGCGTCAGTCGGGAAGACTTGTTGCAGCGACGGAGCTGGGAATGTCCGTCCAAAATCGGCATGCCAGGATTGTGGAGGGCTACCTCACGGCAGAACGCATGTCCCAGTTTTACAGCAACTTTTACCCTTTGTTGCAGCCGAATGAGGTGCGGTGGCAGAGAGGGCGTCTCCCAAAATGGTACTTTCGGCTGCCTCAGGATTCCACTCTTGCCATGATGAACATCAGGCGAACTCTGGCGATGTTTTTTCTTGCTGCCATGTGCTAGCAACTGTGAGAAGTACCATGTTGCGGACCCCCTATTCGGCTTGAGAGACAGCGTTCTTGTCCAGGAACTCTTTCAACCAGCAGATTCAGCACATCATGCGCATGTGCCAGCTGGCCGCCGGCACGGCCGAGGCCAGTGGGCAGCAAGACTTCGAAGTTTTCTTTTGAGACTCGCGACAGCCTTGGCATTGCTTCAGGGAGAGCCGGCCGATCCGTACTGGAAGCACGTGCGGTATCTTTTCCTGCAGATGTGGGGTTTGAAGGACGCCGGGCCAGAAGCTGCTGTGGTGGCGCTATTTTGTGGCAATTGATCATGCTCGCACAACTGCTGTTTCAGTGAGTATTGCACGGCCGCAATGTTCTGTCCTGTAGTCTACCAGAAGAAGTATCGGATGACCGTAGGCAGAGTCATACTTGACGCAGACCTGATGATTTTTGAGGATGCCTACAACCTCGTGGCGGAAGAGAAGGTTGGCAACTTTTACAATACTTTTGCGTAGAGCCTGGCTTCACTTGGCATCCCGGCTCTCATTGTGCCAGCAACAGCAAGGGCGTGCGGACAATAGACATGGTCGATCTGCTGTTCATCAACTCCCACGCGGAGCTCCCTGAGCTCATTGAGGCCAGGGATGGGCTAGATACCGACTGCGCTGCTATAGATGCTAGCTGCAGGGTAGCTGTCGGACTTCGAAATATTCATGGAAGGCTTTTCGGCCGCAAGCGGTGGCGGCCAGCCTGTGACCCATTGTGAAGACTGGTCTGACGCTGGCCAGAGCACCTGGAGATCAGGAAGCGGCGCTGCAAGCTCCGATGCCACTGGCCGAGATGTTGCAATCCTTGCAGCCGATTCTTCTGTTCGACATCCTTTCCAGGCTCCTGACTCACAAAATTCTACATCAGGCTAGGCTGAGCGAACTGTCTTGACATGGGCTGACGGCGAGCTGCAGTGGTGGCTGTTCAGGATCGCTACTGGAAGCCCACGTGTCACAGGCAAGCATTTGACCGACCGTTGACTTGGCAACCTTGGCATTTTCATGGGAAGCCTACTAGCTTTGGAAGGCTGATGCTCTAACGATCGATTCCGTCCGGTTCCAAGACCGGCACAAGCTGTTTCACGAAGTCAGACATGACAGATGCAGTGCTCATCTGGCCAGGACTGGAAGCTCCGATTGGCGAAGCACGGCCACTGCACGGCGCTAGACGACCACTTAGTTGAAGGAAGTACATGGACAGCGGGTGGGGAGACAGATGCTGCCAATCAGGTGCGCCTGGCCCCTGCAAATTCGGATCTTTTCATTGGGCACACCACCTGGTGTGACTCCTAAACCTGTATCTTGACACGGTCAGCAGTGTTGCGACGTTTGGCATGCAGGGGCGACTACAGCAAAATGAGCAGGGTGTACAAGCAACTCGGCAGCAGAAAGCTCTTTGTCAAGAGAAGGGAGCTTTTGCTCGACGTATGCGATGAGTTTTGTCAAGCAGCTGGCGGCATCCGAGGTACTACCGATTTGATCTGCCTTTGTCATTTCACTCGCACGAGCTGATGGGTTTCAGTTGGCAGCTTACACCGTCACGTGCCTTGTCGCGTAGGCGCAGAAGGCCGGATAACTGGGTTCACTAATCAGGTTCATATCCTGGCTGCGTCAGCAGCACCGACGACTTTTACATGATGGACCCGCTTGTGGCAAGTGTACCCGTGGGTGCATGATATTACAAAGGCGCGTGAGGCCCTTGTCGGGAAGTAGAATACATTTGTAACGCGAGGACAATGGCCTGGCAGTGATGGACACCACGCTGGAGGTCCTCCTCACAGGTATTTGCCTCGCGCGAAAGGGGCAACCGTGACAGGTCCTTAACCCGAAGTTGTACAGCCGGGTCATGGATGATCCTGGCAAGCCCAGGAGTCCGAGGGTGGACACAGACAATCTGTGAGGCACTGAAGACGCCCAATGCCAGGCTACCCAAGTTTCTGCATGTCATGGCTGTGAATCGTGTGGCAAAGACAGGCCGGAGGGCATTCGTCACCCACAGGCCGCGACAGGGAGGAGACACTGCGCTGTGCTGCAGGCACGCAGTGGACGTCGATGATGGCAGAGCAGAACACAGGCACCGGAAACTCGCAGTGGATTGTGGTGGACTACAACAGGCGGGGCCGAAACTAAACTGTGCTGACTATGCTTATGCAGGCACCCAGACAGCATCGGTAGATCCCACCTACATCTTCGAGCAGTGCAACCGCCAGGTTTCTTCCTGGACAACCTTTGCAGCGAAATACGCTCCGGATTCTGGAGCAAGTTCCTGGTATGACGCATCAGGCAGCGCCGGCTAGCTGCCGGCTAGTCGAGAGAAGCTGAAAGTTGTAACTCTGCTCCCCTGCAGGCGGACATTACCACAGAGCTCACTTCGCGTGGCTATTGGGGGTCCTTTAATCGTCCATTCTTTGAGGCACGAGCTCGCCATGCTCGTCTTGGATATCAGCTTGCCGCCTCTGCGCCCCGCTGTGCGAGGACATCAGACGGATGTCTGGGCACAAGACAGCTGAGGAGTCTTGGATGCATGCCATTTTTGCCAAGTTGTCATTGCCAAACGTTTCATCAGCCTCGAGGAGTCCTACGGCAAGCTGTTCTCCTTCGAAGACTCACCGCGAGCATCCTTGCTCCGCCGATTTGGATCCGGAGTGAGCAGCCAGAAGGCATGGAGTCCGGGATGGCAGGGTTTGCTTAGTTAGCTTTCGAAACATATTTGACACCTCAAACGTTGCAGTTCTTTAAAACAGGTTAAGTTTCAGGAAGCGATTAGCCGCTCTCTCTGAAGTCTCCAGCCCTGCAACTGGTGAGGAATACACACGATTTAAAGAAGCCAAAGCCTTGAGAAACTTGTCGACAGCGACCAATCTGCTGTGTTTGCACAATTGGCCGCCACAATGCACTTCTTGGCGCCGGCTAGGTACTCACTCATCTACTCATCACTCTCAGGCCGCATGAAACTGCCCTTTGAAAATTTGAACACAAAACGCGCTGAGCAAGAAACGTTGCACGCGTTTTCTGTTTCCTCGCTTTGTCGTGCCACGTTCTCTTTTCGTTGCTTGGACTGTCGCGGGCGAGACGCCAGTTGCATATACTAACACGAGTATGTAAGCAGCGTTCAGCTGATGCTCGTTGGTGCTGATGCCGCCGTTTTCTTGTCCTTGGCTTGTTTTGTTGGCATTTACCTGACGTAAATGCAGTTGGCGTCTTTGGGCTATCTTGCACACGGTACTTTGTCAAGAGTCTTGTTCAGGAGGATGGGGGTGTGCGGAGGGATTTGCTCAAGCTCTGACCAGCCAAGGTCAATTGGGCGATATGCGTTCAACCATGACGCGCAACGATCCTAAGGAGCTATGGCAACAAGCCTGTAGACGAGATGCATGAACGTATTGTTTCTCTGCGCTGCTAGGCTACATCGCATGGGGGGGTCTTGGTCCTGTGCACAGGATGCAGTTCCAGGATTCCCTGCCGGGCCAGGGCATGCCATCATGGCCCGGCTGGATTTGGATTCGATGCCCAGCTGCGAGCAAACCATGGACGTCGTTAGCATTTTTGTTGACGTGGTCGCAGAAGCTAGCCCCAGCCAAGGATGGTGAACAATATCCCGAATGGAGGAATTGATGCAAAGGCATTTTTCGAAAGCACTGATTTCGCACTGTCTCTCACCGCTGCCCGTGGTCAGGTGACAAGCGCTTGCTTGTTCAAGCGGATGGCTTGTCAGGCGCTGCGTTATAGGTTGCACGCGAAAAAGATTACAGATGGACCTCATGGATCTGGTGCGGGTTTGCTTGGCAGCCGACCAGGCCGTGAGCGGACCATCGCATGGTTCATATCCCGCCTTCCGATGGACGAGCCAGGCTCCTGTTGTCTGAGATTGATGCCGGGCCAGCACGCTAAACCTTCCAGCCTGAAGAGGCTACCTATGAAAAGCCTACCGTTCGACAGGCGACAGACACAGCTCCTGCAGCTGAATTGTTCCAGGCAGGCCTGTGAATGCAACACGGTGCAAGTATCTAGTTCGAGTGCAGCGTGCCTGCAGCGACGCAATGACCAGGGCTGGCCGCACTTGGGGTTGCCAGATGTTTGGGATTTCGATTTTGTCGAGATGAGCTCTGACGAGGACAGTGCATGTTGCTGCAGCTGTCAGAGATATTCCTGGCTAGCAAACATGTGCGTTCAGAAGCGTCGGAGTCAGCTTCTCTGCGTGTGTTGCGTCCTGTCGAAGGACAAGCTGGCAAACTCCCAGCTGAGCGACAGCTGCTAATTCAACTTGTGCACGCGAGACGAGGCCACTTTCAAGCTTTGTAAATGAATCAGTGAATCAATCATTCCCAGCAGCCGCAGTCTGGGATGGTTTAGCATGCCAGGCGGGGCAAACGTACCCCGGGTCAGGTGGCTGGAGTTCGGAAGCGAGCGCATGGTTGACTAGTACAGCAGTTGCAGTATCGGGCGATGCCACATGTCGGATATAAGCATCCAGGCATCTGATGCCGCGCAGACTTTTGACCCACGCAGCAAGCTTAGCTACAACCACATTCTGAAGTCTCGAAACCCTGTGTGCGGTAACGAAGGCGAACAGTGGATCGGCCACAGCTCTGCTGGCTTGAAAAAGGGGCCGTGGCGGTGGCTGTCTTGCCATTGCAGCGGAGATTCTTGAGTCAATGTGTTGAATTCATGCGCTCATTGCCGTCAATGTCAGCACTGCAGCCAAAGCTCTGGCATTTTTGGTCTACTAGTGACCAGGTCTATGTCCACGTCCCTTTTGCGTGCGCAGAATACGTGTAGTTGGACCGCTCTTCTCAGCATGTTGCTGCTCTGCACTACCTTGTGACTATTCTTTGGGGCGTTTTGCAAATGAGCCGGCCTCTTCGACATCTTGGCAAGCACTTCTGGCTCGGATGCATCACTTCGTGACATGGCCTGCTTCAAGCGTGCAGAGACCAAGCGCCACTCAGTGTAAGTAAGCTTTGTTTACACAGACGGCTGTACAGAAAGGCTTTCGCGGACAACATCATGTGGAAGAATGTTCTTGGTGACACAAGCCTGCAGCAACACAACACATCAGATCTAAAAGCAAGAAGTATGTGTTGAGAAAGGCCTGGGCAGATCTTCTTTAGGTGCCCTGCAACGATGCCGCCACCTCCCGAGCTCTCATTGCAGGAAATCAAGGACCTGCAGGCCCTCCCTAGCCGATTCGAAAGATAATTCCGGGGCTCTTGGGTTGCAAGCGTGCGGAGCTCTTTTGGCAAGGCCGAGCTTTACATGGGCTTTGCAGAGAAGGATTTCCAAGATGCCACTTGTCGATGTGTTGCTTTCGCTTCGGGACTTCTCCTTGGGGCATTGGTTGGCATCAAATGAGGCCTTGGCTGAGCTAGAAGCCATCCATGGAAAAGCCTACAAGAACTACACGGAGGATCACACGAAGCTTTTCCTCACGGTTCAGAACAAGGCTTCGTCCCACGCCCGATGTTTTTGAATGGAAGCCTGTAAGAAGTCATGTGCTACGCAGAGGGGCATGGAAGTCTCTGCCCGCCTGAGCCGCGTTTCAGCGCAGCAGGTGCTTCCAAAGTACGGCTTCCAGACCGGCCAGGCAGGGGTGCTGCAGATGCTCGCGGCCGCCTCGCGCTTCAACGACGACGAAGATTTCTGCACCAACCGGGCAGTGTTGAATGCTCCTCGGATGGAAGTTCCGGTTTCTGAGCTCGGAGCTAAGCCAGTGAAATCAGCTAAGCTCCAAGGAGCTGATTGGCATGGCTCCGCCGATCGACGAAGAGCTCGAGCAGCTCGAGCGGAAGGCCCTTCATCTGCACATTTCCGGGATTAACTGTCGAGTCTCCACGACTTTTCCAAGGGACCCCCGCGGGCGGCTGCTCCCAAACCAGCTTCCCAGCAGCTGTTGGTAACGGACCGTCGCGGGCTTCGGAAACCGGCACCCTTGTCAGTAAAATGAGACATATTAAGTTGAAGCCAGTTTCAGTTGGAACCATGGGCCATCTCCTTGTAGGAGAGCCTTCGGTGGGCTCCTACGCTTACCACAAGGCATCGCCTTCTAGCGTCGGAGAGCATCTGCGTAGGTTTCTGCGTCTAGGTAGAAGTGCCGATCCACCAAAATCGGCCTAGACCTGCTGCCTTTGAACCTCTTCACGTTGACCATTCTTGGCAGGCACTGGCAGCCCCCAAAGAATGCCAAGCTCGAGGCGGGCGTCGGCAGCAGTCTCGTGGAACACCGAATTTGGCCGCAAGCAATGCTCCTCAGAATTCTCTCCATCATGAGTCTGAGAACTGCTGTGGTTATCTATTTCCCACGTTCCGGCTGGAGATCTGATGCTCGTGAGGACTTGCAGCCAACTCCTGGGCATTATGGGCAGTATGCCCTCCATGATGACGAGAATTTTGACGAGTTTCGGGATAGAGACGGGATGTGAGAGGCATGCGTTCCCTGTTAAGCGTCTTGTCAGAGACGCGGACTGGCAACCACCATGGCAGTGGGCCGGCTGTGGTTCTGCATGCTAGCTCGACAGACGAGCCCAAGCGGACTCTTAACCACATGCTGGGAAAATCTCTGCAATCCGATGTCGCATGCTATTGCCCAACCAGTCGTTGGGCACCAGCACAAGCTCCACAGATGTGCATTGTGAGTGTGGTGCTCGTATGTAATTCCTGTGACTATGCATGTGTTGTGCCAGGCAGATTGGATCTGGCAGTGAACTGGGCAGCCTGCAAACAGTTGCCGAAGGCCGAAAGATCAAGTTTCAGACCTGCCTCAAATCATAACCTATGCCTTCGGCCAGGTGAGGAAGCAACATCCGAGGATGTCGGCGACAAGGTGCAACTCTCCCTTTGACGAGTCTTTGGGGGATGCCGGGGGCGCCCCCGAAGTCCTTCCGACTCGTATCTTCCTCCGAAGCATTCTGTTGCGGGAGGATGTTTCAAAAGGCACCAAGTCCTTTGCCAAAGCGCAGTCTTTTTCGTAGCTTCGTGATCTCGAGACTTCATGCCGCACCCTGGAGCAGGCCATGACTTCATGATTGCAAGCTTATCCATTCGCCCAAACTTTCGAGGAGCTTCTGGTGGCTTAGGCCCTACCCAAAAGCGCCAGTCCTGAGAGCACTAAGGGAGCATCCGGTAAACTTGGAACGCTACGAAAAAGATTAAAGGCTGCAGTGCAAGGACGACACGCAGACATCGAGAAGTGTATCAAGTTTGGAGTTTAGAGCTTATAGGGCTCAGGGATTCTTACGCACCTTAACATCAGTGCTTTATCCGAACATGTCACCGCAAACATCTATCAACCGTCTTCCCACTCAAGATATCCCTACCTGTGTCAGGGCAAGTCGGAAAGTGGCGGGCATGCGATCATGCAACACTGGTTTTTCCTGTCCCGTGCAGCGCAGTAGGAGGTCTGCACAGGCTCCTTGCGCCGCCATGCGCACGTGTGTAGGACGGCGCCTGCAAGTGCGATCCCACTGGCAGTGATCCTCAAAGCCTCAATGTTCGTGGCGCAGCACATCCCGCACCGTGTGCACAGTTTGTCATGGCGTGGTCATGCCTGACTCGTGCAAGATGCCATCGTTTCACACGGTTCCAGGGATGGCCTTAAGGGCCAACCGACCAAGAATGATCGGGCGAAATCATGCATCGTTGTTGCAGATTCCGAGGCTTCCTCTTGACGAAGCATAGCTGGTAGCGACTGCGCACCGTTGGTGTTATTCTTGTCATAATTAAATTCTTAAATTAGTGCAATGACTATTATGACTGATCTTACCAGTATTTAATTATTCGTGATTGTCAGTTTTATTGTTGTTATTATGATCATTATTAGTACTACCGTTCTTGAAGCTCTGAGGCCTGCCCAGCCGGAGCCGTCCGAGGACTTCCGGTCATGGCACCACGGCGCGTAGATTTGGAAGAACTTGAAGTGGGAGCTTCCGGCAGTTTGGGGTACCTTAGTTTGGGTCCCTTATAATCAGGCTACTACTGTTTAGGGTGCTCTATTTGGGTCCCGTATTTGCGGAAACTCCCAAGTCGGAGGAGCGCATGCGCCGCTCCCTACGGGCATTCACAGCTATGGCCCGAGTTAGAAGCTGTTAGAAGGAGGAACAGAGGCTTGTGCATTGCTGAAGACTCCCTCGGAATCGGATCAGATTATCCAAGCGGAGGTGCCAGTGCTGCGCTTGCTGCAAGTTCCGCGCGCGGCCACCCTGAAGTGTGGGCAAGGACTCACTGCAAAATCTCATCGGCTTAGACGGAAGAAGCTTTCTGTGAACCGAGGACGGCTGATCGAGCTGCTTTATGTTATTACGTCCCCGAGCTCCCCGGAGCTGGAGGCCGGGCTTGCGCCGTTGCTATCGCTACTTGCTGTAGCCAGTCGTTCTGGGACTGCTATGCCTATGTAGCCTATGGTGTTATCCGAATCATGGGCGTTTAGAACATGTGCTGTTGTCATTTCTGTTTGGTCCTGGGTCGGGCTTCTGTTAATTAAGGCTGGTCTTGCGACCTCGGTGAGTGCTTTGCTTGACAAGGATGGCACTCCGGCGGTAGCGCAGAGGTTGCCAAATGCCAGGCGGGAATGATTGAGTGGGCAGGGTGCGAACATGCTGTTCAGCATTCAAAACCAGGGCAAGAAATCGGTGTGTAGAGCAATCCAGCTTTGGGTTGTAACTTCCACTAGGGAACCCCACTCTGTAGCTGGAGTCGCAGACATGACGGATAAGACTACCTGTGCAACGACACAATTAGTAGCCCTTGTAGCAGCAGTAGTAGCAGCAACAGCAGCAGAAGCAGGAGCAGGAGTGGGATATTACCGCGACGGTGCCAATCTGCATCCCCATCTTTGCTCGCAGACACAGTAGACACCGTTCACTTTCGCAGATGGCAGTCACAAATTTCATCAAATTTCGATATCACGTCCGGGATCCAGCTTGGAAAAGCATCAATTAACTGTCGGTAGCAGCAGGCAGATGGGACCATACATCTATGTGTATCGTATATGCGCAGGCATAGGCACCAGATGGTGCGTGCATGTTTGACTACTCGGAATTTGTCTCAGCGTTGCTGATACTGAGAAGTGTCTAGGTAAACCCAAGCAAGTGATGGACATAGGAGCTTCGCCAGCGACAGATGGCTTTTGACATTGTCCAGCATCGGAGCGCCACTTTCCCTGTGCTGCGCACGTGAATGGATCCCCTGCAGGTGCGAGGATGCCAGGTCGCGGCAGATGCAGGCTATGTCTGAAGCTCAGCTCGCTCAACACACCGCATGGCCTGGAGCGAGTCCTGACATGAGGCTGGACTCCCGTATCGCTTCCTTTTGTTGCACCTCCCAGGACTCGAGAAGCACTTTCTGGCAATGGGGCTTAGTGATGCTGGCAGTTTGGCTTTCTGTGGTCGGCGGCGAGGTCCCCGAGCGCACTCCCTTCGCCTTTACTGTGCTAGCAGCAGTCCTTCCACCGGAAGAGGAGGCAAGAACCCGGAGCCAACTTCCGAGTGTTCCGCTGGGCACCGGCATGATGTGCAGGTGGAGAGCCCGTCCCACCTCAGTGCGGACCCCACGGACCGAACCAGATTTTGGTGGAGTGCTTGCCAAGTCCCGTGCAGCCATGGGAACAACACGTAGCAAGAAGCCTCGCTTTTGCCGGATCTTCCCGCAGCCGTTCTTACAAAGATTATCAGGCAAGTAGTGGGTGATCCTGCAGGAGATCGCAGCGAAGCTATGACGACTCCGCAGATTCGCGACTCCTTGAAGTACACCAGGATCTGCAAGTACTGGAGCTCGAACCGCTGCAAGCTGGGCAAGGAGTGTAACTTCGCCCACTCAGAGCTCGAGTTGAGGAACCAGCCGGACTTGATCTCCACACGCCTGTGCTTCCAATTCTCGTCCAAGGGCCGGTGCAAGAACGGAGAGAATTGCAAGTTCGCACACGGTCGGTCAGAGCTTCGCACTGTCCCAAAGGCTGCGAAGCGCAACGAGATGGAGCCCATGAAGATCCAGATCGGCAAACTCTGCCTGTCCACGACGAGCCCAGAGGCATCGCCCCGGAAGATCATGCAGTTCCGGGCGCCACCCGGCCTGGCACCGCCCGGCCTGGCGCCGCCCGGGCTTCCACCACCCGGACTTTCGCATTTGGCGGTCATGGAGATGGAGTGCTCCACAGCCAGCCCGAGCACTGCAGTCTCCGAGCCCAGCGAGCCGGCAAGCCCACGGAGCCTTTGAGGCTCTCTGACTCTTGTACCTCGAATGACCTCTCATGTACAGCACCGAGGTCATATTCTCGTGAAGGCTATCAATGGACAGCCTTCACCTTTTAACAAGGGACTCTCCTCACAAGTTGCGGGGCACTGACACTCAGTGCCTCGACTTTTGGACGCTGCAAAGACAGAGAGCTGAGTCTCCGCCGTTTTGTTTTGTTTGTCATGGGTCTGCTTTTCCATGGCGCGCGTGTCGATTAAGGAATCGACAAGCTCAAGCGCCTTTCATGGGCTCTGGCCAACGTGATGTCTCGACATTCCTATCCAGTCCCACCCGGACATCCCAAGCTTTACTTCTTTTGTTGTTGGCCGCTGTAGCAAGGGCCCAGGTGGCGCCAATGCAGATCTATGCAGGCCCTCCTGTTTTCAGACGCCGTCGCAAGCCTTATGTGCAGGCCGCCTTGCAGAGGGTATACTGAATCAGGCAAGCATCAGGCACAGCCCACAGAACGGAGAGAGCATCCGTGGGCGCCGCGTTTGATACTTGCTGGCATGCCATGGGCTTCTTTCAGCAGCCCCGAAACTCCATAGAACAGGAGCGTACAGTACAGTGCTCGTGGTGACAAAGACAGTAAGCTGCGAGCCAGCAGAAAGGAAGGCACGTTTTGTCCGGCGGCTGGCATGGTGTTAATAAGTCACAGCCCCATGATGGCATATGATGGCCTTTGGAGAGGCCTCACAACACGTCCCTTGCCAGGTCGTTTGTCTCGAGATTGGAGTTTGCTTCAGATAGCCTCGCAGTACTGCCCTGCAATGACGACTCCGCAGATTCGCGACTCCTTGAAGTACACCAGGATCTGCAAGTACTGGAGCTCGAACCGCTGCAAGCTGGGCAAGGAGTGTAACTTCGCCCACTCAGAGCTCGAGTTGAGGAACCAGCCGGACTTGATCTCCACACGCCTGTGCTTCCAATTCTCGTCCAAGGGCCGGTGCAAGAACGGAGAGAATTGCAAGTTCGCACACGGTCGGTCAGAGCTTCGCACTGTCCCAAAGGCTGCGAAGCGCAACGAGATGGAGCCCATGAAGATCCAGATCGGCAAACTCTGCCTGTCCACGACGAGCCCAGAGGCATCGCCCCGGAAGATCATGCAGTTCCGGGCGCCACCCGGCCTGGCACCGCCCGGCCTGGCGCCGCCCGGGCTTCCACCACCCGGACTTTCGCATTTGGCGGTCATGGAGATGGAGTGCTCCACAGCCAGCCCGAGCACCGCGGTCTCCGAGCCCAGCGAGCCGGCAAGCCCACGGAGCCTTTGAGGCTCTCTAACTCTTGTAGCTCGAATGACCTCTCATGTACAGCACCGAGGTCATATTCTCGTGAAGGCTATCAATGGACAGCCTTCACCTTTTAACAAGGGACTCTCCTCACAAGTTGCGGGGCACTGACACTCAGTGCCTCGACTTTTGGACACTGCAAAGACAGAGAGCTGAGTCTCCGCCTTTTTGTTTTGTTTGTCATGGGTCTGCTTTTCCATGGCGCGCGTGTCGATTAAGGAATCGACAAGCTCAAGCGCCTTTCATGGGCTCTGGGCAACGTGCTTATGCTTTTGGTCGATGTGCCAAGGGCCCAGCTGGCGCCAATACAGATTTGCACAGGCTCTTCCGTTTCTGGCATTGTCGTCGTAGGCCTGATGCGCGGCCAGCGAGTGTTGGAGTTATTAGAGAAGCCTACAGCAAGGAACTATCAGGTACTTCATTGTGCCTAGACGGAAGATGTGCACTGCACTTAGAAGGGCTTTAGTATGCTTCGTCTACCTGCTGCGAAACTCCACAGAAAGGAGTGTGTAGTACAGTGCTCGTGGCGGCAAAGACGGGAAGCTGCGAGCCAGCAGAAAAAGCGTTTGCGACGCGCTCCTGTCTACCGCCTGAAGAAGCTTGATGCATTGCTCTGCTTGCCATGGCTGGCCGCCATGCAAAGGCCCACGTACATTCTCGCTGGGCAGTTTGTCTCGAGATTGGAGTTTGCTTCAGATCGCTTTGCATCGCTGCTTCCCAGCAATGAGCACACCACAGGTTCGGGACTCCTTGAAGTACACCAGGATCTGCAAGTACTGGAGCTCGAACCGCTGCAAGCTGGGCAAGGAGTGTAACTTCGCCCACTCAGAGCTCGAGTTGAGGAACCAGCCGGACTTGATCGCCACACGCCTGTGCTTCCAGTACTCCTCCAAGGGCCGGTGCAAGAAGGGCGAGGCTTGCAAGTTCGCTCACGGCAAGGCAGAGCTTCGCACTGTCCCCAAGGCCGAGAAGCGTGCGGACGAGCTTGAGCCTATGAAAATCCAGGTGGATTGCCAATGCTATACAGTAAGGTGTGTTGCAGGGCTTGTAGGGGTGCGGGCAGGTGACATGGATGAAGAGTTCTGACTCGCTTGGATACTTGTCGACGTGCTGAGGTTGGGGGCAACCTCAGCCCTGCGGCACCACTCAGCCCAGTGCTGAGCCCGCGCAGTGCCTTGACGGAAGCGCTGAGCCCTCGCAGCCCTTGCAGCCCCTTCAGCCCCTACGGCAACATTGGTCCCTGGGCAAGTACGTCTGGGCGTGTGCACGGCTACACCTCCGCTCGCGGGCTGAAGAATTTGGATCTTGGGCTCGTTCCGGTTCCGACCCCGACGGTGCCGACGCTTGCCATGCCTCCAAAGCTCCAGCGTCCCGCAAACGAGATCAACCTGGGACCCCCGCCCGGCTTGTCCTTGCCTGCTGGCCCTGGCGGCCCTGTGGCGGCCAAGGAGCTGAAGATGGCTGCGTATCGAACCCCATCCACATCTGTTGACGACCTCGTGGCGAGCGAGCCAAGTGAGCCGACCAGCCCAAAGAGCGAAGCATTCTGGCTTTGATTTTGACAGGTCTAGAGCCTAAAGCCGAAGAAACTCCGACACAATTCAGATGGGGCTCACGCCGCACGTGATGAAACTGGGCCCGGCGGGAATTTAGGGCCGCCTGGAAGGTGGCCTACTTTTTAGTTCTCGACCCCGCCAAGAGTCTGTGTTTGCTTTTAAAAGCCTCCATGGCTTTTAGTCTAGGTTCCTCTAGAGTTGCCCCACCACGGCTTTGTCCTAGTGACATGCTTTTGCTTACCTTTTTCCTTGCTACTGTTCGCATGACTGGCCGTGGGCACACGGGGTATGTATCACTCCTTCACGACATTTACGACCTCATGTGACATCGTGCCGAGCTCTTTCGCAGCAGCTTTGGAGTCCTCCTATCTTCTTCCGTCTGCTGAGTCTGATTGATGCACGTGGTGATTGCACATCTCCGGTATTGCACATCTCCGGTTGGTAGACTTGTTTTTCCAGGTGCTGATTTTTCGAGCTCGGCACCGCAATTTGGAAGCCCACTTCGTGACCTGAGCTTCCCAATAGCTCGTTTTTCGAACGCCGCTCGGGAACCGACGGTGCTTGCACGAGCTATCCGGTACTGTTGTGTAGTACTGGTCCGACTACCAGGGACGTAGTGGCCGCCCGTCGATTGAATTGGCGACGGTGTGAGAAAGCAGCTTGCCGGCTGTGAGCGCCGGCGAAGATTTCCGGAGCCGAAAGCGACACGTTGCCCTTTCACAGGACTTCCTGTACTGCACCGCGGTTCGCTTCATCGAGGCCAAGGCGCAGAATCAGTGGACTCTCTGAGACTTTGAGTCTGGCTCAGGGTGGCCGCTGCCTGGCATACTGTGGGGCACCCGGCAGTTGGCTTCAAGGGACGGCTCGCCTTCCGGTGATGTCAGAAAAATTGCAAGTAACACTGCATGGCAAGAGTTCCAGACTAAGCTCTTTTCGGGACTTGGCCGCGAGTCCCAGGGGCTGGGCATCAAGCTCGGCAGGTAGCTGCCGGAATTCATGAGCCGGCAACCGGGCGCTGGTTGAAGAGCCCTGAGGCCTCGTGTCTCGGCACCCGTTCGTGGAAGCCTTTGGGCAGCTGCTGGTAATGTTGCACGACGGAGAGGAGGTGCGGCTGAGAAGGCAGCTTCGGAAGCACATGTCTCTCTCCCGTGCAGGTGCTGGAAGATGTTGGGGAGGCCAGACCCGTTGGGCATTTTGTAGTCGAGTGCTCGTCAGGGCCGAGAAGGGCCTAGAAGAAGGGTTCTTGTCCACGACCTTGTTGCTGAGCGTCGCTTTGGCAGGGAGCTTTCCTAAGCCGCTCTGTGGATCAGTTGTGCCTCCCGCAAGAGATCGGCTTGCCCACATTCAGCATGCACCAGGACATAATGTGAGCAAGGACCACCGAGCAACTGTGTCTTGTGTTTCGCCCGCCCTCCGCAAACAATCGCCGCACACGCCGCCATGCCGTTTGCGGGCGGCCTGGGCCATGTCATCTTGAATCTTATCCTCCAAAGGGCTAGGATGTGGCAACTTTGGTAGACCACTACCCGCATGTATGAATTTATGTAGACATGTGGTTTTGCATATTCGTGTCATTTTTACATGGGTGTTCCATATGCTGTAGGTGCGTGTGCGTCTGTCTCAAGCTTTGAGATATTACTTGCCCCAAAAAAGACAACCAAGAAACATCGATCAACCGAAGCAAAATGCTCTCAGCTAGTCTTTGAAGCCGTTACCGAGATGGCGCAGCATACAATTCTTTGATTTGTTGCTCGTGGAGTTTGTGGCGGGATGCGGCCAAGATCAGTACGCAGGCGATGTTAACAATTGCTCCAGGACTCTAGCCGCACATTTTCTCTGTGGCATAGGCTGTGCGATGTCGTAGCTCTGTAAATGTGCCCTGGCACCAATGGCTGAAGCCGCTGCAGCATTCTGGCCAAGGATTTCTGCATCCGACTCTTTCCTGCCTGAGACAAGACCTTCAGTCTGACAGGAGCATTGCTCTTTGATGTGCAGTGATCAAGACGCGCAGTGTACGGATCTAGATCGAGATCAAGACGGTGTGCAGATATAGGTTGCGTTTTGCTTCCGAATGCAGATGTTTGGCTGTGACATTTCGGCTTCAGAGTTATAGCATCCCCTGTTTGGTCCGAGAGTGGCCATGGCAGTAAGGAAGATCGCCGCTTGAACTCAAGGATATGCAAGGCATGGCAGGGAGATCTGCCGGCATGTGTGTTCTCAACCGGCCGCCACTTTGCAACGACCTTTTCTAGCGCAGCTAGGCCTTCCCTGCATCTCTCCGAATCTTGGGTAGTTTCTCAGGTCTTGCTGCCCTGTGCAGAAACAGAGCTGCAAGCAAAGGCGCGGGACCTAGGCCACAGGAGAGTCGGGACATGTCGGGAACTGGGACACGCCTGAGCGCACGTGGAGCATAGCCGCTCAGGGCATCTGCACCGGCTGGGCCCAAGATGGGCTGAGCTCCAGAGGGAAGGAGCAGGCCGAGCAGGCGCCGAGCCCCGACAGGGATTCTGACAACAGGCCAGTGCGTGACCCCTGCGCTTGATTTCACCTTTTCACCAGGCCGGCAAGCTCCTGAAACTTGTCTCAAGAGAAGGGCAGACCACGGCCTTGCTGCATCAGCTTCAAGCTCGAAAGTACCAAGGACGGATGCTGGCTTCAGCTTCGATGCCCTCTTCACTTCGGTTCAGAAACAGGTCGCTCTTCGCTGCAAATGCGCTCCGGCCAGCACTGTGTGGATTGCGCAAGTCCTCGGAGGCCGTTTGCACTGGATGGCTGGCGCTAATGCAAGGCGATCGCGTGGCCTTGCCGAGGCTTAACTGCAAGAGTCAGCAGGCGCATTTTGTGGATTGGTGCCAAAACAGCGCTCTTTCGCTTTTGCGCGTTATCATGGTTAACGAACTCATTGCCTGTCCCGAACAACACTTGATCTGCTAGATTTATGTGCTACCCTACCCTACCCGTCCCATCCCAATGCTCTTTCTTCGTGTGTGACCGATCGAAGTCGACTCAATGGAGTAGCCTCGGTTGCTGGAAGAGACAATGCTGTCAATTGGCATCATAGCAGCACCTCCATGCAAGGCATATCCAGAACTTCCGACTGAACGATCGGCACTGGGGAGTGTACCAGGGCAAGGCCAAGCCTTCAGCGGAAGAGGATCCCAAGGAGGCGTGGCGGAGGAGATGATCGTAACGAGAATGCAGATATGCTCAAGTTGTACATAGGGGCCGCGAAGACCCCATCTGTGTTTCCTTATCAGATGTGGAGCGCCTGGAGCATCTCATGATCGTCCGGGTTTTCGGGGACTCCGTTCTCCCCCTCCTTCACAGCCTGAGCATCCCGAAGGGTTCCTTAATCCTCCTTTCCGCCCACGTCCGGGCCATAAACAAGCAACGGCAAGAAACCGCGCATTCTGTGAGAAACACGGATCGACACACACTGAGATGTAGGTAATGCACACGGAAAAACGGCATGCATACACTTCGTGCGCGAAACGCACAAAGGGTGTTCACGTGTGTGGCTGTGTGTAACTGTATACAGACAGATACACTGGCCTGATTCCCTCTCAGCAGGCCGCTCCTCCGGCAGTGGGCATCTCGGATGCCGCGCATCCCTCCAACGATCCCTTGTACAGGCCTCTTCGGAGCTTTGTTTCTTCGTTAGTCGCCGTTTCATCTCTCCCGCATGGTTGTGGTGGTTGCAACATGCCAAAGCTCTGGCCATGCCAGACCTGACTCAGGGGTGTGCCCGCCAGCGCACGACCCGGCTCCGAGTCGATGAAGTCTCCTGCATGCATATTTGTTTGTGCTTATGGGCCCACGGGCTCGAATCGTGCATGATAGAGGCCATGTCACATCCAGTTGCAATCGGAGCTTCTGCCAGGATGGTGGTTGACCGAACCCGTCCATTTTGGCACGACCCGCGGCTGTCAACATGGATTCTGAACAGCTGCCACTGTCCTGAGCTGTGTTTGGGTTTTTCCTGGAATTGGCGCAAGGATGCCATCGCGCCCTTTCTGCTGAGTGGCAAGACGCCGCTGGTGGTGGCGCATGAAGGGTCCGTTAGAGCACCTTGGCAGAAACAGCGGAATGCCGGTTGCCTTTTCAATGGCCACGCACGCCGTCGGACGCTTCCGAGGCCATCTGTCAGGGGCTTGAAGATGACACGGATGCAGAGGCTCAGTGCTAGGAGTGTCAAGTGCAAGCACGTCGCAAACTCTGGTTTCCGAGCTTTCTTGTCTCCCTTGCGGTGAATGCAGTCTTGAGGCACTTGAATACGAAATCCAGCCTGGGGTGCCTCTCGTAGTCGAGCTTGACGAGGCCGTCGTTCCAGAGCTTTGCTCGTTCTCCTCTCTCCTTAGCTCTTGCTGCAGGAGCTGGAGTATCGAAAGCGGCGACTTGGCTTGGCAGACTGTCAGTTGACCAGTCAAGCATCTAGATTCCTGTCCGGTGAGGACAGCTCTGCTGGCAAGTGGTGTCGCAAAAGCAAGGAGATTCAGCACCTCGGTTCAATGATCCTGACCTTCGGGTCTCCCGCGACGGAGATCTGCGTTCATTTTTGTGTTCGGCCTGACCTTTTACTGGTGTGATGCGGGAGCATGCTTCTGCAAGAGAGACACTTACAGGAACATGTTTAGGCCCCGGTATACTGCGTTTTACTACAATCACGGTCCGAATGAGAACTGGTACTTTGTAGAAGCATGTTTATTCAGATGCCAAAAGCCCTGGAAGGCCTAGCGCCTGCGGCAGGTCCCGCCCTCCGGCAGGGACCCACTCCCAAGCCCAAGGCTAAAGCCAAGGCCTGAAGTGTTTCCAGACTCTTGCAGGGCTTTCGAAGGTTACTGTACTGGTAGGGGGGTTTGTGGGGGAATTTCTGGACTGCTGTTAGGGTGAGTGAGGAGGGCTCGCGCGGAAGTGGAGTTTGTTGAAACTAGGTCCGCCGAAGGCATCGCAAACAAGCAGCTGACCTCACCCCCACCGCGCGTCTCGAGAGCTTACAGCCGAACAGTGAGTCCAAGCTCACCAGTCCTTCGCAGGTGGCGGAACCTGCAAAGCCGAAGGAGGCTCTTAGCATGTCTTATCGCTTTTGCAGGGCTGTCCCATTGAAGCTTTTCAACGGCAGGACTACACAGTGGAAGTTACGGTGCAAGGGGCCAAGGGGCTTCGTGATGCAGTGGCTCGGAAGGAAAGGTGATGCCTTCTGCTTCGGCCGGGTGCCCACGGGCAAGTGGCACTAACATGACGAAGTTTTGGCGCTCCTCCTCCGTAGGAGTGGGAGGCCAATCAGGCAAACCGCCTTGCTGAATCTTAGTGGTAGCCCTGTCTACGACATCTGATGCAAGCCTCGCAAAGCTTTCGACGAGGATTGGTTCACGGGCACATCTGACCCATATGTGAAGTGCACCGTCTCGGGCAAGGCAGGCCTGACCTGTCTTACGCTTTGCGCTGCCGAGGGCCGCTTTCGACTGCAGCTGGCTTCCAGAGGTGTTGAATGCTCGGCTTCCAATTCTTGGCTCAATCTGCAGCCTAGGCTCAGCATGCCTAGCCCTAGCTTCCGACGCTTCCAGATGTGACGCAAGACAAGACCTTGACTTGACACCAAGTCCATCTAGAATGTTCAGACCTCAAGCCTGAGGGAAGAAGTTGTTTGGGACGCACTGCACATGTCGGCTGTGCGTCGTCCCAGCACTTTACTCTTCCGCACAGGCACGGGCTTTGAAGTGCTTGAGACCTGCCGCATAAGTTCAGAGAGATGACCGGTACTGTCGGTAAGGAAGTCCGGATGCGAAAAGGAGGGAGGTGCGTAGTTTCGAAAGTCGTCCTGATGTCAGGAACCCTGCTTCCTTTGTTTTGATATCCTCATGATTTCCTCAGCCCAAATATGACGCCGTGCGCCTGGCAACCTCTGGCGATGTCATTGTCGAGCGTTAGCTCCGAGCAGTACTTCTGCAACTGCTCGCCCAAATCGCCGATTCCTGCATGGAGCGCCCTACAAGTGCTGAAGATTTTCTTGAGCCTGCCTGAGGTTTTCTTCAGAGAGGCAGCGGATTCTCTTCGCTGCCAGTAGTGAATCTCGCACCTTTCCTCGAGAAGGCTCGCAGCTTCTGCAGGGCTCAAATGCGTGGCCGCATAATTCCCATGCGTTACGCGAATCAGCAGTTCCTGTAACGACGCAAGTCCAGACACCGTCTGGGTCTTTGCCAGCAGTTCTGTCGATACGGACGACGCGATTCAGTTCACCTGGAGTTCTTGTGTAGCCGCGCCGACTTTACAAGCGGTCACAAGGAGTGAGCCTCTGAGTTTCCAGGGCGGTGCTGCCAGCTCCGAACGCCGTGCTGCGGCGGCGCAGAGCCTGGATGATGCTTGCCGTGCCTCGACTCGACGGGGATCTGGGGACATTTTTTGTTCTTGCTGCGGTATTAGCAAGATCTGGGCAGGGTTTCTGGAAGTACCGGTTCTCGACGCATATTTGGCATCACCAGGGGCAGGCCTCTTCTGGAGGCTATTTCCGTGCCCAGACTCTCAGAGCACTTTTGGCAGACTCGTGCAAGCTTCCATGCCATGCTGCAGATTCTGTTCTAATGTTTTTATCCGGGTGTTTCAATGCATGTACAGCGCCGCAGCTGTGAAAGGTGTGATAGGGTATTTGGGTAGATCTGTCGGCATCTGTTCTGAGCATTTGATTCCTGAGCTGCGCAAGGCGGTGTTGGCTTCTTCTACTTGGAGGGGCACGGTGTGCCAGCCGAGAGCCAGCAGAAAATGCATCAGCTGGCCAAGGAGTTCTTTAGCCTCCCGGCTGCGTCCAAGGACTGCTTGCTATAGAAGCCTACTAGTAGTGGCCGCTGGTGCCACCGGGGGTGCTGCCTCTCCACGGCTCATGCTAATGCCCGTCTTGCAGGAGGCCATAGCTCTTCCAGCGGAGTCTTCCACTGGCCGAGGATACCAGAGGCCCTGGTCTGGGGCAGTGTGCAGAGCCACGCCCAAGATGCTTCAGCTACCGCCGTGCACAGGCTGGGTGAGAACGTAACCCTGCAGAAGCGTGACTGGCACGAAGCCATTGACTTCTATGCCGAGCCTGAGCCTGACACGGTGGAGCTCGGCAGGTTTGCGCACTCGCCGGCGAATATGCGAGATAGCCAGCTGGAGCAAGTACGATCCTTCGTGCACGCTCGGAACCGCTGGCCGCTCGAGCCTGCCAGTTTTCGGAGGCATGCAGAAGGATACTTCGCAGAGATGCGGCGAGTCGGAGATGGCTTAATGGATGTCGCTGGGCCTTATAAGACAGCTCGACATTCATCTCCGGGCTACTTGCAGACGTTTCCACGGCTGAGGCGATGGCAGTAGCTTTCGGCATGCCTCCCTCCCATTTCCGGGTCCTCACAGACCGCAGCTTCTGGTGCGCGCGTGTGATCGGCTACCCAGCGCTGTCTGAGGGCAAGGAGGTCGGCCTGTCCTGTGGTGAGCACTCGGACTACGGCTGCTGGACCATCCTTTCCCAGGATGACACCCCCGATGCACTGGAGGTGCGGTTCGCAGATGGCACCTGGGGCAAAGTGCAACCGCGACCTGGAGCTTTCGTCATAAACTTGGGGGACATGCTCAGTTTCCCGACTGCAGCCATGGCAAGCTGTGCGGGAACGTACTGACTACACTACGAAAGCATGGCCCAACCTTGCAAAATTTCAGCCGTCAGGTGTGTGGACGAAAGGGCGCTATGTGGCGACTCGGCATCGTGTCCGCCAGACCACCCGAGAGTTCAGGACCTGTTGGAGTCTGTTTTGAGGAGGCCATCGAAGTGTTGGAGAATCTCGCCTGCCAGGACATCGATCGCGTACTTCCACGAGCCAAACTTCGACGCAGAGACTTGGCAGAACTTTGCCTTACGTCTTTGGTGGCACTGTGCATCCCACGAACTTTGCGAACACAGGAAATCCGAGCGCTGGATGTGAGCCGAGCCTTGCGGCCCGGCGCAGATCCGAGCGCTGCTTCGTCCCTTGTCGCCAGTACCGGGCCCTTAAAGCGGGGCCTGGAAGGTGGCGCCCTCATCTACGGCGAGCACCTCTTTGCCAAGGTATCCACGAACTTCCTTCCGCCAATCAGCGGAGGATCACAGGAAGTCGAGAGGTCGACCACGGGCATTCAAGTCTAACAGCGCAGAAAAGACACTTGTGCAATGCCTGCACTGCTGTTTGCCGCGCCTTTCGTCTATTCGATTGTCTTGTGCCAGGGCAGCGGGGAGTTCCGCACGCCGACGCTGTCGAACATCCGCTTCTGGGCTGTCGTTGACGCTTCTGGATCGAGTATAACCGTGTCCCTTTTTACTTTGTAGAGCCCAAGGAGCAGAGGTCATCAAGTGGAACCATCTGGAGAAGATCCAGCTCAAGCACGGAGTGGCCTCCCCAGAGAGACAGCAAGAGTGTGTGTGTGCTCCCTGGATGGCTCAGCTCAGCAAGTGCCAAGGACTCGTTAGACTTTACCGTTTACGACGAGGACACGGGGAAGTCTGACGACTTCCTCGGCACATGCACGTTGCGTTTTGACGAATCTTGGCTGTGCTTGACTGGGGTTCCCACCTCCATGTAGCCTGGAAGGGGCTCGCATCAGAGCCGTGTCAGTTTCGTCACATCCTCTTTGCAGTCGAACGGGTCTAAGGACATCCTGCAGGACTTCAGTGGCACCTCGGTCCTGTAGAAGTAGATGGGGCACGGTTTCAGCCAGGTCGAGTGGATTCTATACTTTGGCTTGGAAGATGCATTTCTTTGAACGGCCGTGCAGGCACCCTGAAGCTGGTGGACGAGAAGGGCAAGGCAGTTGGCCCAGTTTGCCGCCGCTGCCGGGGGTTCAAAGTCCTGCTGGGGGCATTTCTTTGTGATCTCTTGGCCGAGGCCATGCCTGGCAAGACCAAGAAAGGCGCTGCCCTCCCGAAGAGTTTTCGCAAGCTACTTCGGGTTGTATTTTCGAGCGAAGACTCTCGGGTGCGCTGCTTAGCGTCTTAGTGCAGCTTGCCAAGTGTGGCTGAAACGACTGCTATGGATCAAAACTTGAGGCCTACAGAGTCAATGTCAAGGGCCCCTAAATTCATGAAACCAAGGTGTAGAAACGGTTCTGGATATGGTCGTCAGCCAATCGGATTCAAGCACACTCCCCCGTGAAGGTGCATTCCTCACGGTGGCCGTGAAAGAAATGGATTGAAAGTGGGCCGCGAGTTGCACAAAGCTAGCAACTTGTGCAGTCCCGTCGCAGTGATAGATGCTTGGCGACTTTGGCCGAAGGCCAAGTCAGCCCTGGCTCTATCCTCAGACAGATGTGGTGTGCGTGTCGCCTCATTGACATACCACTCCTTTCCAAGATGCTGCTTGCTGAATGGTGTCGGTAGCTCAAGCAGTATGCTGACACCAGCTGAAAGCGCCTGTTTGCGCCCAAGACAGCACAGACTCACAATATGTCAGTGTCATCATAGGCAGATCAAACAGATCAAGGGAAGCACAGCATCTGACTGTCAAGAGTGACTTCAGATCTTAGTGTGCAGCGCAAGCTGAAAACGTACTGGCAGCTGCCTGTTGGGATTCTTGCGGCCAGAGGTTTGGAGTGACCTGTCCGAAGGATCTTATGCGGAGTGCATGGCCACGGACCACTGCCGCAAGTGCCGTGCCTCGACTTGCCATGGGACTCGGTGCAGGCTGCTTGTGCATTCATAAATGTCTCTCCAAGGAGCTCTTTTACATCCTTATATACTTATCTATAAATAAATAAACATATATAAGTATATATATATATATATGTGTATATATATATATATATATATATTCTCTGCATGTTTGTCGGATTTGGAGCCGGGGACAATGGAGCCTCCGGTGCTCCTTTGGTTCTGAGGATCTGATGCGTGACTGACTCCGCCAACTCCTTTCGCCAGGCTGCGCTCCTTTCATCTGCGTGCCATTGCCTCATGTTCTTTTGCTGTGAAAAAGCGACCTGGCATGAAAAACTGAACGTGCAAGTCTGTGCCGGGACATGTTGCCCAGACCTTTCAGCCCAGCATGTCCTCGTTGCTGCTTTCGGGCAGTAGGGTGGTACAGAAATCTGCAAGACTGCACTCTTGTGTGAAGCCATGCCTGGATCGCAGATCGCTCTTCGGGGTATGTCCTCCTTCAGGACCTTGGGAGACAGCAAGCCACAGCCCGGCGCGGCGCGGTGTCTCCACCCGGCCAGGTCGACGAGGCCGTGAAAAGCGACCGAGGGCTCCTAAACTTCACGTGGTGAGGTTCAAGCTGACGCAGGAAGATGCTGTGAGGTCTCTGACGCAACATGAGCAGGATCGCTGGATGGCACCGCTACCGAGCGAAGTGTCTGGAACGGCCTCAACCGCTCTCGTCGCCTGGCAGCCTGACAACGGCGTGCGGGCCGTGTTCCTTCCATTCCGGGTCGTGAATGCGGTGGCGAGCGCGAAGTACACGGGTCAGGTGGGTTACGCACGAACGAATGTCGTGACCTCAAGTGATGGTAAGCAGACCACCCAAACGCACACTGATTACTTCTGGGTTCGCGGTTCTCTGGACCATATTCACTTGGACGGTAAGGCAGGGGATCCTGCTATGCAGATTTATGCTGATTTCCTCTATCCAGAAGCATTGCTGGAAGCCGTCAAGGGCCGTGTTGTTGCGTCTGCTGGCCCCTTGGATGCTTCGGCCCTCAACATCAAGGAAGAGCCGACGCTGGATCCTTTTCGCATGACCGTTGAGGGGACACGGGAAGAAGCGCAGGTCCGTATGGAGACTGCTTTGACGAACCTGGCAGAACAGGAGATGCGCCGCACACACCCAGGTTGCACCCACGTCCAGAGAACCACCCTCGCCAGCGTTTGTGTGGCGCAGTATCATGTTCAATCCGTGTACCTGCCAGCTTATGTTTTCACCGCTCGGTACGGGCAGAGACTCCTAAAGCGTTTCGTGGGAGGTGCCACTGGGAAGGTGTCCGGCGAACAGATGTACTCCGAAGTGAAAGCAGCCGTGCTCGGTCTCGGAGTCGGTCTGGCAGGAAGCTTCCTGGCATCCGACATGGCCGCCCTGCCTGTGCTTGCTGGGCCTGCCGCTTTCGCCGTTGCAGCTGCGGCATCCTTGGCAGGTTTGGTGGTGGCGCGCTGTTTGCCGTTGTTCCGCAACTGGTGGTTTGCCCGTGCAGCAGACAACAGGGCCTCGCAACATGCAAGCGCCAGCAGTGGATCGCCGTCTTGGGAGCAATCCATCATTGCCAGGCATACCAGCAGCACGTTCGGCAGAGCGGCGAAAGCCAGTCAGGCGGACCAGGAACAAGAGGCTGTTGCTTCCACGACGGCAAGCCACGGCGTGGAGCGATCGCAGCTTGTCATCGCAGATCCACGTGCCCAGCCATATCTGTCTGTACTTGGGCTTGATCTCGGTTGCTGCTTCGGTCGTGCGCAAGAAGCCTTTCGTCGCCAGGCGATGAAGCTGCATCCGGATCACAACCCAGGTGCCAGTCCCGAAGAGCGGGAAGCAATGGCCAGCAAGCTTCGAGCCGTTCTGACGGCCTACCGTGAACTCCGCAGCATCATGGCAGAAATCTCACGACAGGAAAATAAAGTCATGCTGCAGTAGCATTTGCATGCACTTGCTGCCTGAATGGCCAGCTTTTGTCATGCTTTGCCCACAATTCTGCTGCAGCCTCTGGCTCCTTGCCGCTGCTGCTGCTATTGCTCTTTGATGCTCCACGGGGTCACGGCGACTGCATGGGGATCGTGATGGTGCACGGTATCCTATCCCAGAGTAGGAGGCAGGAGGCCCAGCCGGGTGCCCCCCGTGCTCTTGTTGTAGGCGCAGCTTGGAGAAGCACTCTCTGCCTCGGCTCGACACCCTCGGCGCGCGACTTCAAGCTCCTTGGAGACTCAAAAGACGGTTGATAGTTAGACTCGGCAGGAGGCTGAGAAGACCCTTGAAGCTTGGTTCCTGGCCCGCAGCATTTCTCATTTTCAAGCGTCAGAATTTGGAGATGGACCTGGCCAACTCCACTGCAAGAGCCCTGGAGGGGCCAGAGCTCATCAGAGAAGCAAAGCGAGCCGGCGACTGGCGGCAGGTGCTGCGGCTCGGCTCCGAATCTTCAGTTCTTGTCTTCAGTGAACGGAGAGCCTGGAGAGTACTGTCGTGTGATATTTCTTTAAGGACAGCGCTGGAAGACCTTCTTCGGCAAAGCCAGGGGCCGAACACAGCATGTTGCCTGGCCGGAAAAGTGCTGGCCGAGTCCGAGCAATGAACCAACAGGACCCGCAAAATGTCATACCGCTTGCATTTGGCGTCCTGCAGCACCGGCCTCGGCCAGGCTTTAACATGGCGATTGCCGCGTGTGGGAAGGGGAAAAGATGGCAGCATGCGATTCAAGTTCTTGTCGACATGTCTGGGCGCCAGTTCACGTGCCTGGGCTGAACAGTTAGGAGGAACGAACCAACGCAGGCCCGGCTCAGGTTTTGGGGACTTGAGCTGCCCTGGACGAGGCCGGATGCCGTCTCCTACAACGCGGCCATCACGGCCTGTGCGAGGGCTCGTCGCTGGCACCTGGCTTTGCAGCTCTTTGCGGGGATGCCGCGGGCAGTATCTCGGTCTGAAACAGATCACAACGAAGTCGTGGAGTGGCCCTTTAACGAGCCTTGTGAGAGAGAAAATGTCCCAGCTGTGACTGCTGAAGGGGCCTCGGAGCTTCCATCGCACCCGTCGTCCTTTCGCATCCGAGGCCGTCGCCCGCGACGTAGTCAGTCCTTTGGCAGCAGCGCCGGTGCAGTTGTGAATTCACTTTAGCAGCTGTCGGGACTGCATCCAAGGCCACAACGCGGCCATTGATGCATGCAAGCTAGGCCCAGGGCGCTTAGAGTTTATCGAGGCTTGTGTGGTTTGAGACCCAAGCGCTGGCAGGGGCAAATTGGCGCTTGGCGCTGGTCCATTGGAGCCACATGTCAGAGGACTGTCGTGGAATCAGATCTGGAGTCATAGAGCCCTGAGTCCAGCTTGTTCTGAGAGAGGACTCTTTTCCTCGCTCCACGAATGCATCCGAGCTGAGAAGGTGGCTATGCATGGTTGGCACATCATGTGAGTGGTTCCTGAGGCATACAATGCGTGCATTAGTGCTTGCAAAGCAAGCAGCCAGTGGCAGTGGGCCCTGTGGCTGTTCCATGAAATGAGGCGTGAGAGGCTGGAAGCCCATGCATGTTGAATGTGCAGTCGACCAATCGGAAAGCTAGTGCTGGCTGCACCGCTGGTCAGGCTGCAGCCCACGACTATAACGCACAGTGCCTCCATGAGTGCCTGCTTGCAAGCAGGCAGGGCCATTGCAGGATATAGTGAGATGCTGATGGTTGTTCGTGCTGTTGTGATGGTCACACTGCTACTGCTATTTTGGAGTTCTGCCATGATGATGATGTTGTGCTGATTTTTCTATGTTATTGCTCGAATGAACTACTTGTGAGCACAGGACATAGCAGACCTTGTAATTTCAACTGCGGGAAACGAGGGCAGCTGTGAGCAAGATTTTGCAGGATTAGCGCAATCGGATGGGCCGTAGAAACCTGGTCGAACATCGGCCTTCGTTTCCCGGCACGCTGTACAAAAGTTGTGTTGCCAGTCACGGGGAATCGCTTGGCCTTTGCAGGCGAGTGGCAGGTGGCCTTGCTCCTTTTCGACCTCATGCTCTATACCAGTGCCAAGAGAGACACCTTGGTTTTCAATGTGGCCCTCCATGCAGATCTCCTGCAGAAAGACGCACAGCCGGATAGCCATAGCGGACTGCACGGTTTCGATTGTCCGAGGCATGCAGTCATAGTGGTCGGTGGCAGCTGTCGTTGGCACTCTTGCAAGAACTGCCCCTTAACTGAATTTATGCGCTTCAGTCCTCTCCGGTTCCTTTGGCTGCCATTGCCTGTGCTCTCTTGAGGAAAGGCTCTGCCTTGCGAGCGGACCAGATCAGCTTCTCCACGGCCATAGCTGGCGTGGATGCTGTGCCAAAGCTGCACCGGCAGTAGAACACTTCCTGCTCGCAGAGCGGGCGGAGCGAGATTTGCTGTGTGTGCAGGATGGTCGGTGGGATGTTGCTTTGAGCCTGCTGCTAAACATGAGAGCTGGAGGCACGGGGAGAACACGGAATTATCCAACCAAGATTGGGCCCGCATCCAATGATCAACAGGTGGCGTGCCCAACGACGTCAACCGCTCGGGTGCCCTAAAGTGCTTCAAGAGGCACGGTGCGAGATCGAGTTCTGGCCTGTTTTTGGAGTGCACTCGCGGATGTGAGTCATTCCTGTAGACTAGACAGTCTGCAGAGGCATGGGCGATGGCAGGCCGCGGTGCTCGCGGTGCTGCCTTTTGCACACGGTTTCTTGACCTGACGGTGCTGTGACAGGCTCTTGGGGGTGTTTTGCCCAATCTAAGTGAGGCAAGGATGGACTGGTGGCCAGAACGGGGGCGATCAGCGCAGCTTGGCTTCACACACATATACGCGAGCCCGTCCGCTGTGCGTGCAAACGCCACGAGGCCATGCAACTTCAGGGCGTGTGGGAGCAGGCTCTCAGTGCTACGTGCAGCGCCCAAGCAGGCAGCACAAGACCAGACGGCATAATGTAGCTCAGCTGCAGGAGCATGCAGGAGGTCTCGTTGCATGAATCCTTGAGATTCATCATGACTCAGGATCACGGCCGCCATCAGCACAATGAAGGGCATGTGGCAGCGTGCACGAGGTCTGCTGCACGGGCCCTGGTCCTAGACTCAAACAGCTTGAAAGAGGGCTTTTGTTGTGTCGGTTGAGGTGTGGGATCTGTGGGTCAGCTCGCCTCCAGAGCACCGCGGCCCACAATGCAGCTCTCGCCACTTTTGAGGCTCGCTGCTGGTGTCACGCACTGCAGTTGGCTCTGGCTTCTCGATGTGCTGGGCTGAGCCTGGATGCGGCGAGCTTTGATTGCCTTATGGCCACTTGCGGACATGATGGCGGCGATGATGGAACTTGCAGCTGGGACCAGGCCGAGAAGCTCAAACAGTTTTCTGCAGTGAAACCAAGAAAGCGGATTTGGCCACTTCGTCTGCGGCGAGGTCCTCCTGCTGTACTCATCTATGGCGGATGCGAGGGTGGCGTTGGCTGCAGTGACTGCATAGGTTTTCACACTGTGTGCATAGCTGTCTTCTGGCAGCACAACCCTGGTCGAGGTCAGCCCCGGACAGCGTGCGTTGGATGCAGCTTTGCAGGCTCGTTTTGTGAATAGGCTACTGGTTATTGCAGCAATAGCGACTTGGTATCACTACGAGATCGAGACACCACTTAGTCTACATGCCTAGATTACGTACTGCTCGTCACTTCTCTGCAACGGCATGTTGGAAACCACGGAGGCAACGAACTGGAACCTCAGCATGCCAAACTCAGCATGCCCAGTTGGAGTTTAAGTTTGAGTGTGATCTGAAACCTTCCTCAGTGCACGAGGGACCCTCGGACAGCCAACGAGCCCCCAAACCCCCATATACTACAATATAAAAACTCTACTGATATTATCAAATTTCCCAGTTCCAGTCAGGCCGCACCGTGCCCGGAGCTCCTGGCGGCGCTGCCGCGCCTCGCGCTGCGTCCGAGTGCTGCGAAGGTCCACGGCAGCGCAAATCAGTAGCCGACTCTCTTGTAAATATTATTTAGTATAATCGTAGGACAGAGAGATGAATTAATTGGTGCTAGTGCTATGCTTTGGGGTAGCATGTGTTGCGGTGCCCATGATTTCATATTTACAGGCTGCAAATCTGCATCTCCCAGAACAGGTTTGTAGCAGCTTTTTCCTCTCGCTTTGGGAGAAGACTAGACTACTTGGCCTCAAAGCACTACCGACGTACGTCCCAAAAGTAACGTGTCTTGCCGAAATGATCCGAAATACGTTCCCAGCTTGTGCAGGATCCGAGTCCGGATTTGAGCACAATAACATCAGCATAATCCTTGCATCCTCACCCGCCAACCTTAAACACGATAAACATGAAGGAAACCTCGCGGAGCTGAGGCCCTCATCTGCGCTGCGCCGCGCGGCGGCGTTGGGCGAGTTGCCGAGGCCAGAGGGCCCTTAGTCTTTGGGAAGATCCGCATGATAGAAGCAGTTCGTAATTTGCGTTGAAAAATAGATCAGTCTGTGTAAAGAGATGTATACGTGTGTATCAAACTCCGCCTTGTAATCATAAGTGCCTTCTTCGCTCCTCCGGTAGTTTTATGACTCGCTTTGAGCATCTTCTTGGTCAATGCCGAAGCAGTGGAGTCGTACAGAAGTGAAGAGCTCACAAGTGGGGAATGTTTGCCTTGACTCAAGCCACCCCGCGGCAGGTGAACTGCCAGTCGCTGCGCTTCACGCGTGGGGCTCGGGGGGCCTTTTCTGCTCCCAATCGTGCGCGGCAAGTTGACTGACCAGGCAAAGCAGCATCAGCGCCAGATTCCACAGCGGGCAACGGCTGGAGGCTCCGACAGCAATCGCCTCTCGCTTTCAAGCTTCCTGGCCGTGGGAGGCCAAGATTCGAGGACTTCTCCGAGGGAGCGAAGATCCTTTGGAAGATCCCTGGTTTATGCTGACAGTGGTGAAGTACGGTGACCGACCCTCGGACGAAAGACGCCTCAGTTTGTTTGTGAGTGGAGCGCGTGTGGGCGCTGGCCAATGTGCGCAGGACTCTTATGCATGAGCAATCGCCGTTTGTACTGCCTGCGCCCCAGAAGCATGATGGGCTGGTGCTGTGCCAAGTTTGCTGAGCCCAGTGGGCAATTCCGGGCATCAAGGCTTGCAAAGCTACCAAGCTCGAGCGCAGTCGCGAGACGACCCCTGGGATGGCCTTCGGCTTACAGCCATGGCTTGATCGGAAATGTAGCTCAGGGCTGTTGCATGACAATGCCTGCATGATGCGCTGCCCTGGGCATCCCTTGAGACGAGCACCGAGGCATGGTGCTCGCGCGCATCTTCGAGTGGCCAAACTTCAGCGAGGGACCAGAGGTCTTTGAGGAATTCGTTCAGCAGCTGAATAACGCCCGGGGGTATCGCTTGGAAGACGTGACGCTTCGAGAAGGAGGCAAAACAGCTCGCGCAGGGTCCGGAGCCATGTCATGCTGGCACCACGGGGTTGGGCAGAAGCAGGTCGAAGGGGTTCTGACCTCCCCTTGTGACATTGAGTAGCCCGATGCCAAGTGTGCAACTGACTGCGCCACGCGAGCCGCTAGCAGCGGATCCAAGAACACTCTGCAGGTTGGCCGTGGGCCACGCACTGCACACCCTCCCGGAAGGTTTCTTTAGCGTTTGCCGCAGCTTCCCATTAGTTCAGAGTTCAGGTTCCCAGAAGCAGCCGATGCACTGAGCCAGTAGATGCTCTCCCGGCATCTACCGACCCTTCAAGGGAAGAGCAGCACACTTTAGCCGTTGGCTGCAGGGCCTCGTTTGTAGATGCCAATGCAAGCTGGAACAGTTCCGTGTTCTTGGAAACGTGGAGTGCTGAATGAGCGAATGCCATGGAGGGGTCATTGGGCGCGCCATCCTTCGATCTCTAGCATTGCAGCTCTTCGTGGTTACAGCTTGTGTCCAGATCTGATGGGCACAGCGGTTCTGGCAGAAGCAGCCGAGATGCTGAACCGATTCGTGCCTAGGCTATCCAGACATCACCGACCTCTCAACTTGACCAACACGTCGCAGTGGCTCGCGCACATTGCAGAGGCCAAGCACTGGGTGCGGATGAGCGAAAGGCACCTGCTGCGGCTCATGACCGACGGAGGTCTCCTCCAGCATTTCGACCCAGCTCATTGGTCCTCTGCACCATTTTTCCGTGCTGTGAGTTTCGTTAGGGCCTTGTTCAGGGCTGCACCTTTGCTGGGCAGAGAGCCGAAACGGCGGCACTTGTCGATCAGACATCGCGGTTGGTGGAGAACGCTGAAATCGCGAGTGACGTCCGAGGGGCCGATGTATTTGAGCCTTCCCGACCCGATCGGACCATGCACGCTCCCTCTGGTCGTGTCAGATTTGCTGCAGATCGACAGCCTCAGATTTCGGGCTGACCCTACGTGGGATGATGCTGCGGGCCTGCAAATACGGCAACTACTTGCTTCCGCTCAGACAAGTCTTGATTGCATGATCCGGGACAGGAGGCTTCTGGACCAGTTCATGTTTGCAGGCGCAGACACATTCTTCGCCTTGCTGGACCGCCTCGACTGTCGCCTCTGGTCGGTTGTGACTACGCCCGTTGGCCCCAGTAAGTTTTGGATGCGCCTCCTGCCCCTGCCGTTCACGGAAGCGAATCGGGTGAGGGGTTTGAGAAAGTTCCACTGCGACGGAGCACTTCGAGATCTGTTAGAGGAGCTGCTCCCAAAACCTGCAAGCCATGCTTTCCGATTCGTAGAGGTCGGACCCTCCTTGGGTGGCTGCACTTTCCACGTTTTGACGAGAGTTCCTGATGCCTCTGCCGTAGCTGTGGAACCCCACCAGGTTGCAGCAGAGGCGCTTCGACTCACGGCTACGCGGAACGGCCTCGCCGATCGTGTTGCTGTCCGTCAGGCTTTCGTATCAGACAAAACGGGTGCGTGCCGTATCTCCTTGTTGGGAAACATTTACGACACCCGGAACCCGGAATGGGCCTTTGAGCATGCAGGCTCCGAACTTGCAGAGGCGTCGAACTGTGATGCAGCGAGTTTGGACGAGATTATCACTTCAACTTGGGGTGTCGGCGGAACCGTGGACTTGCTGCGAGTTCATGTGGATGGCCGTGAGGAGATGGTGCTGAAGTCCCTCTACGATCGCCTTAGCCCCGCCTCAATACAAGCCATTGCTTTAGCCATGTGGCCCTTCCGCGAAGAGGATGCTCTCTATGATCCTGCTGCCATTGCGCATCTGCTCCGAGCGCGAGGCTACGAGCTTCAACTGCAGTTCTTAACGACTGCTTCAACAAAGGAGTCTTTTTGGAATGAGGACGCAATTCGGGTGCTGCGGAGTGGTGTCCAAACTCCGGAGACCATGACTCTCATAGCTTCACAAGCCCATGCACGGAAAAAGCTCGGTGGTCTCCGTCCGAAGCGAAAGCAAAGCAGGCAGAGCAGAATGTAGACTGCGCGCGTAGTGACGTAGTGACTTTCGGTGCCAGAGGTGCCAGCATTCGTGAGCATGTAGCATGATGTACGCACTCGTTGTCACGAAAGTTGATTGCCCAGAAGCACCAAACTCCACGGTGTGTGCATGAATATCAGTATCAGCATCAGCAGTAAGAGACCGCTTGAGGATTGATAGCCGGCTGTGAGCACAAGTAGTCAAGAGATTCAGATGTCAAGCAGTGATGTGTCAGCAAGCGATCGCAGAAGCCGGCCATGTAAAAGCAGCAAGATGCACCAAAGCATCAAGTGTGCAGAACCTCCTTGTTTATGCCTATGACCTATGACATGACTTGGCAAAGACGCGAAGAGCCAGTCGTCCAAGGGTAAGAGCAACAGATCCGGTTCAGTTTTGCTGACGATTTATAATTGCTGGTTTAGGTTTAGGTTTACGATGCTTATAGACTACAGTGTGCTCGTCATTGTCCATGGCGCCCAAATCCGACACTGTCCTACACGTTACGCCGCCAATGGCAGAGATCGACACGGGCGACGAAGATGGAACCGCCGGGAAGGTTTTCGGCAGCCTTTGCTTTCCGGATTGGGTCTACGACCCAAACCCGCCGGGAAGGGACGGTTTCTGCCCATCGCGACGGTGGCAAGGCCCCTTTCCAAAGTCTGGGTCGTCCTCGTTGGTGCTACGAGTTCTTGCCACAGCCAAGAGACACCTGGAGCCCACCTCCACTTGGCAAAGGCAATCTTGTGCAAAAGTTGTGTTGTTAGCATACGCCAGCTTCTGAACATTGCAGAGACAATGCTCATGATTCAGGTCAGAAGCAGGGAATTTCCAAACTGCGAAGCGGCGTGGCGACGACTGGGAGCGGGTCAATGGCTTGATCCGCCAGGCGGCGCAGCAGCTTCACGAGCAGGCGCACGTTGTGTTTGCGAAGGGGGACCCCCATGATTGCATTTGATTTTCTTGTTTTGGTGACTTATTCGTGGTACTGTAGGGTGGGCCCGGGTGGGATGTGATATGTGAGTAGCACAAGTCGAGTGCCTCGGCGATCTCCAGGATGAGAAAAAGCCACCTGCGGATCCAATCGACCGTGCTTTCCAGAGCCTGCACCTCCCGCTTTGGTCCTACAACTTTTTACCGCAACCCCGCGATGCTTGGAGCCCATCGCCGCGGTCCATCTTGCGTCACTTGGCTAAGGCAATCTTTTGTCTCACTGCCCTAGCGCTTTTCTCCGCCTGTTGCTGAAGGGTTTGACGGTGTCTCGTCAGGAAAGCGGGCCAGGATGCAGCGGCGCAAGCGTGCCAGTTCTCCGGCACTGGGCTGCTTTGGGTCTTCGATCAACGGCGCCGGCTCACTTCAACTTCGGCTACTCTGACCGGAGCAGGTTGCGGGACCTCGGGCGCCTTGGTCGCAAGTGAAGCTCTTTCAGGGGCCAGACAAGGCAAGGGCAAAAAAGGACGGCAGAGTAAACATCCTCAAACCTTGGCCCAGCTAGATGTTGTGTTCTTGGCTATTGCGACGACCATTGAGTCATAGAGTATGAGGCGATTCCACCGCATTTCACAGTCGCATGCTTACCCCGAAAGAAGCAGCGGTGGCACGCGTGCGGGTGGTAGCAGCAATAGGTAATAGTTGCAAAGGGACACGGCAAACTCACTTAAGGCTGTTGTGAGATGTGTGACCCAGGATGCAGCTTCAGCTCAGCGAGGGCCCAAGCGGCGAGCGGTTGCAGCCGGGCAGCATGATGACGGATAGCCCGACTCGGACAGGGGTTTTGTAGAGCCGGCAAGGAAGGAACAAAGAAAGACAGACATGTCTTTCATGTTGGTGTCACGGGCTTGTTCACTCTTGAACTTGGTGTGCTTACTTCTGAGAGGCAGGAGTGAACCAATTTTTCGAAGTGCAGATACACTCCAATTCTAGTGCACACATGTTGGCACTGTGAAGCAAGGAGATGGAAGATGGAGGGGGATATAGGGGGATGAAGGTGTCGTTGATGCCCCGTTGATATTAGTCCCCACCCGCTCCCGAAGTCAGGTTCACAAGCATCCGCGCGTTTGACATTTGCGCCCAGTCCGACGTCATTCTCGTCTTCATCCGAGGCTCAAGGGCTCACGGACGCACAGGGAGGGAAGTGCCGCATGTCAGAGTGTGCTGGATCCCGGTAGAGGATGAAGAGAGCTGAAACGTCGAGTGGAGGGATGCGCGTTAAAGCATGCCGTTGCGAGTTTTGAAAGAAAGTGTCTACCCTGGATGCACATGGCGCCCAATCAGCCTAATCAATCAATTCACTCAAATCCAATCAACTCCAATGCGGTCTTCGGTGCTCTGCCATTCTGGGCAGACAGCGCCTTGTGTACGGCTGCGGATGTTTCGCCGAGTGACTCGCTTCGCCGATTCATTGCATCAACTTGCTGCTCAGGTCAACTTTCAACGGGCACTTTCGAAAGGCCTTCTTCCAGCCCCACCTCGTCTTGCTTTGCTTCTTCCAGCGAATTGACGGAGGATCAGGGGCGGGGAAGGAAACGTCGCCAGCAAGTCGATGTCTTACAGTGCATGTGCTTGACCCCAGGAGCATCAAGTTCCATGGACTGAGTGCGCAAGATGTGCACCGTTTTTTTCGTGAGTCGTGGGGGAATGGACATGTCACGGTAAGCTGTACGGTTGCAGCTACGCAGAAACAGAAGAGCTTTCCCAAAGCACGTCAACTTCGATTTGCGGACAGAGATTGCCCATTGTCTACAGGAGTTGAAGTTTGTCTCACACTGCCAACCACGCAACGAATGCTTTGACAAAACAAAGCCACAAAGCGGATGCAGACTTCCATTCGAGTGTGAGCATTTGAAGATTGAGCGTTGTGTTGTCAAACCGGCTAGAGATGAGTTTGGGTTCAGTCTCCAAAGTGGTGAAGTCGGGCACTTTGCCCGCCCGGAGAGTGTCGCAGCTACAGACTTGAAACCTGCTTCGGGCAGACCGCGCTCGCCCAGGGCCTGGTGTCGCCAAATTTAAGATTAACAAGGGTCCAGCCAAAAGGCCCTCAAAGTTCGGGTAGCCACTCGGTCAACGGATACGAGTATAACCATTGACGCAGAGGGCTTCGAGCGCAGAATCTTTACCAAGCCTTCACACTGCACGCGATGGTTTCGTTGCCCACATCCAAAAGGGAGAACAGCCCAGAAGATCCCCAGGTTGCGTCGCAAAATTGTTCCTGCAGCGTCACCTCGGGTGTTGCGATGTCCATTTCGCGACTTGTGCATTGATGGCAAGGGGGGAGATGCTTGGAGGTAGCGCAACGCGTAGAAGGCTCTTATCTAGCATCTAGGGCTCTTAGTTGTGGCAGGCCCTGGTAAGGTAGCATTATTTGTGGAGAATGCATGTCAGACGTTCCGAAACCAATGGCCGCCAAGGCAAAAGCCGCAGCACGGGGGCAGACCATGTCCCAATGCCAGCGATGCCCCTTTCCTGCATACACATGTGTACATATGCGCATGTGTGTGTACAGACGAACGATTGTATATATGTACACATAAGTTCAGTCATGCCTGCATGAACGAGGCAAAAGTTATCACGTCCTACGTGCAACGAAGTCGCAGGCGGCTGCTGTGCACGTACCGCACAGGACAGAAGGCCCAGCTCCATTACCTCAGGCAGAAGCCTTCAGATCCTCGCCCAAGGTCCAAACCTCAACGCCGGGATCCAAACTCGCTTTGTTCGTGAGCGTGAGCACCTGTGATCACGGCTCGCCCAACGTGGCCATGCGCATGTTTCACTGCAGCATCTGCTACTGTGGCCATGGACATCCATGGACTATCTTGGCTTCATGAGCGGTTGGGTTATAGAGCAGGCGTTAGCATAAATTATTTTGATGCTTGTTTGGTATTTATGTCATGGCATGGCGTTGCAACCAATCTGGCGGACAAAAACACGCATTTCTCGGAGAATTGGGGGCCTTTCGTAATTGGGTAGGGCCACAGCTGGGCAATTAGACGAAACTCTGACGACAGCCCTACTTGCTGAGTTCCCAGGTCGAGCCAATATTCCGTAGGTGGCGTAGGCCGATGCGCCAGCGCAACATGTAAGGGATGCTTGCAACGGACCGGTGAACCCACAGAGCCACAATCGAGAGCCTCCCTCAACCCCGTTCCGTTTTGAAGCTTCGGGTGTGTCAGGCCGAAGTGTCCATCCATGATGTGCCAGGAGGCTGGAATTGAAACGGTGCAAAAGCATTGTTGTTACAGACATTTAGTATAGGATGTTTAGTGTATAGGTTGTTTGAGGATCGTGTTGTTTGTTAAGGGCAACGGTGCCGACACTGAAGTTTACGGAGTTTGGGAAGGCGATGTGCGTAAGGGACAAAGAATTAAGACAAGGTCCACCTCTGGGCAGCTTGATGGATATTCCACATGTTGGCCCGGAATGATGGGGGCCGTTTTCAAGGGTTTAGGCCTACCCTGCCTCCCCCGGCTTGCAGGCGAGGGCGATGCCAAGGCCTGACAACCTGTTTGCCCATGTTGGGAATCTTGCGGAGGGGGATGCCAAGGTTGTGTGGCGGCACGGGATTATTCAGTCCACGCCTCGTCGTTTCATCTTGGGTTCGGAGTTGCGAAAAAGTGATGAAGGCAGCGCATTTTTAAATCTAGGGTGGTGAGCATCCAGGACTTGGGCCTGTGGCGTCTCTAGGACACAAGCTCTCAAATGTTTCAAGTCAAACAGACCGAAAAGAAGAACATTCATAGCGAGTCCATGGACCCACAACTTCCTGGCCTCCTAGATTTTTCACTTCCCATGTCTCAGCCCGACCGTCTGCGGCGTGTGGCCCACAAGCTGTTCAATGCTGTTCGGGCCCCGGAGGAGGACCTTGAAGGCATGCAGCAGCCTCCAGGCACTCTGTTAGATAAGAGCCTGACTATGTGAATATGCGTAATTACTACCAGGCGTCGTTGGGATTCGTTGGGTTTCTCCGAGTGGTCCAAGACTAGATATCCGATTTGCTACCGTGTCGGAAGTAAAGTATCCGCAATGTTCAAAGGTCCTTGTCGTGTTTGGCACCTGTCATCGATGTCTGGGAGTCTGTGGAAACCTCGACAGCGTGATATTCGGAGCTCCTTGTCTTCAGACCATTAGCAGCGGATTCGTGGCGACCCGGCAACCCTCCATGCCCGGATCCGTAGCATCTCTTTGGCTCGGGCCTCAAAGAGGGCCGCCGCACCCCATGGCCTCGTCGAGTTGGGATCCAGGTGCGGGCCTGCAAAGTGTTTAGAACGTGTGGCAATCGCATGCAATCGCCTTACTAAGTGTGTGGTTTCAATCCGATTGCTTGAAGTAGCTGCCCATAGCTGGCCGAACCAACGAACAGATTACCTCGATCTTGTTTTCAAGCCCTGGAAGGAGCGACCCTGAACCCCTTCTTCAGAGCAGTCAGCCGCTTCCGGCAGAGAAGATGGGACGAGTGCATCGACATTTGCACAGAGCTTCTCGAGCAGATCCTTGCCAACCTTTCACTGCTCGTCTGAGGGATTGTAGGGATACCACGTGCTCAAGTACTTACGCAATGGACGCCTCAAAACCAAGGAACCCCAAGGACCAGGCAGCATGGTTCTTGAAGTGCCGGGCGCTCACGTCCAAACAGTGGATCGATGACGTGGAGCCACCTGGCACAATTTGGCAGAATTTCCCAAACTTGGGAAGTGCCCAGCTTCCTCTCTTGCAAGGATCGACGAAGAGGGTGTGGCCGACTTGCTCCTGGACGAGAATGCCGTGGCGCAGGCCAGGCTTCAGCGGAAGGCGCAGGATGCCCACCTTTTGCCAGCCTAGGCACCACGTCCTGGCACGTCGCTGAACCGTCCGCTCACGCGAGCAGTCAGCCACCCAGAAAAGCTGGACAGAGATTGGCAGATACGAAATGCACGAATGAACAACGACCATGATTCTGATAAATGCCGAAGTTTTTGGGGCCTGCCTGCGCTCGAAACTGGCAGCTAGCTCAACCCTAAACTCAGGAATGCTCTGCAAAGTTTGTCGGACCGAGGAAAGCGGCGGAGGGCCCACCCAGGTGGTGCGACCCGTCAGTGCTAGCGGCCGGCCGCTGACGGGCTTTGCCCGGCCCGGCACCAATCGGCCAACGTCCTCCTCTGCGGGGAGAGACGTGACCACTGCCATGCAGGGGAATCGCCCAGGCACATCTAGGCCAGCCGCAGTGTTCTCTCGGCGAAAGTGGCCAAAGCTTGCTTCGCAGTCTCTGCAACAAGCCCTCGACAGACCACTGACGTCCATGGGTCGGCTGATACGGCTCGGCACTGCGTCAATGGTGAATCAGGACCGTCCCATGTTCATCGCTGTACTACCAGCAGTGAGGTTTTCGGCTTTGACAGGACGGCGGCGAGTTCGTCCGTTTAGAGTCGCTGGACCTGCAGAAGTATGCGCAGCGACCTGCAATCGCCAAAGCGCTGTGTGACTATATGCAGCTGGGCCATGTGTTAAGAACCAAGGACCACGTCAGCATTGTTATGTTAGTGGCTCCAAGTCTTGAGCATCACGACAGGGGGCTCTTTGAAAAACACATTCAGGAGCAAGCCTTGGAATTTCCAACTGCAGCAGATACGGTCAGACAAGGTTGTACTATGCTCGCAATCCGCGGAAGGCCTTGGAGACTCGCTCGCAAATGTCATTTAATTAGCCTTGTGGCTGGCTGCATGCTGAGGCTTTGCCTTTCGGAGGTCACCATGTCGTGAAGCTGAGCCGATCGCAGCAGACTGTCCCGACATCCGAGGAGTTGGCATCTGAAGCTACACAGGCTGTCGACTTTAAGGATCGGCTTTGCATCCTTGCATGGGTGCCCAGCATGCGTATTTCGCCGAAATCCAAAGCTGCCTGCAGGACTGGTGGTGGAAGGCCCGGCTGGGGAAGGCCTACTACCAGCTCGGCCCCGCGACCAAAGAGCGATTTCAGAAACTAAGAGCCCAAGAAGAGAGGCCGGGCAAAGGCTGGCTGTCTTCCGCGGATCCTCCCAACTCCAAGGTCTCCTCCGCGACGCGGAGAAGCAGTTCAAGAGCGCGCTGAAGGACGAGGAGATGATCACCACCCACCTAGAGCTGTGCAAGGTCTACCTTCGTCACCCGGTGTAGACGAGGGTCAGTGAAGGTTGAGGGAGTGTCGACGCGGGGCTCTGCATGTGGTCGTGGTCCCTTTATTGCCGTGCTAAGGTCTTGACCAGCCAAACTCGGCTCTCGACCAATACGGGCGCGCTGCCGAGAAGTTTGTGGGGGAAACCCACATCCTCATTGGCTTGGCTAGGACCTACGACATGCTCAATGCATTGCTTCGGGGCGTCAGCTTCTACAAGACGCTTGGCTTAGGACTTGCCGACATACCCTAGACTCTAGCCTCCAGCCAGCCCTAGAACCTTATACAGAGCAGAACCTCTAGCCGGGCGCAGTCCTGCGAGACAGAGCACAGGAAAGTCTTGCAGTATGATGCCGTGAATTCAGAAGCCATCGCGTGCTTGGCTTCCCACCATTTCTATACAGACCAACCAGAGCTGGCCCTGCGATTCTATCGCCGCATGTTGCAGAACGGCGTTGTTAGCGCGGAGCCTTGGCTCTCACTGTGTGGTGACTTGGCCAGGCTGCAACCAGCCGCTTGTGGGATAGGGGGGTGTTTCAGGGCCCGGGGCCTGGCAGAGCGTGCAACAATCAGGAGCTTTGGAACAACATGGGGCTCTGTTGCTTCTACGCCGGGCAGTATGACCTGACCCTGAGCTGCTTCGAACGTGCCCTCATGTTGGCTGACGACGACAACATGGCGGACGTTTGGTACAACATCGGCCAGGTAGCAATCGGTGTTGGGGACCTAGGCGGGGCTGCTAAGAAGCTGCTGAAAGTCTTGTCTAATGTGGAACTCGCCTTGGAGGTCTGGCTTACCAAGCTTTCAAGATCGCCATCTCAGTGGACCCTAACCACGCAGAGAGCTACAACAACATCGGGGTGTTGGAGCTGCGCAAGGCACTGCATTGGGACGAGATAGACATGAAACTGCAGATCTGCGCCGTCTATGCTTGTTTTTCATCCGCCCAGGGCAACGTCGAGCAAGCACAGGCGGGGGCAGCAGTTCCTTGGAGTGCGTATCCCAGAAAAGACCCACAAGTCCCGCTGTTCAATGAACTGTGCTCGGTGTTCCCAAGACGGACGAAGCCCCAGCATGCTAGACAGCCGTGCGTGGCGGACAGGCGCATTTCGCCACGGCGATGCGCTTGGCAGCGCACCTGTTCGAGCCGGCTTTCAACGGAGGGCTTCTGGCAGCTTTGCTCACCTGGACTTGTGGTGGCTGTTATGACATGTTATGAGTTATGTGTGAAAGGAGTCCCAACTCTGCCGAGGCCTTTAAGCTCGGTGAGTTTCAGGACAGCTTCGAGTTGGCCAACAAAGCCCTCGAGGTCAGAGGGGAAAGGCCGAGGACGTCGATTGCACGCTTTGCCTTTTGGCCCAGGCTTACCCCGAGCACATTGAGAGCAAGGAGCTCATTAAGCAGCTCAAGGCACACTTCTCCTCGCTCTGAGGGAGTTCTTACAGAGCAATTTGCTTCACAAGCACCCGGGACCTCTGTAGCTCAACGTCGAGTCTCACCCCAAGCGGCTGCTCTCGCAGGGGCCGATGGAAGCTGGCCAAGTGTTTGCAGCGTTAGGCAAGGGTACTTCAGGGCCATCGTGCGCTGCACTTCGAAAACGGCGCTACCCCGCTTCCAACGGTAGCTCCTGCAGGGTCCAGGACATGCATGGTGGCAAGCACCTGGTCATACACCTCACGTGCCAAACAATGTCTGGGACAAGCATAGCAGCAAGAGGGTGCACGAAGAGAGCGATGATCGTTTTCTTGGGCACCACTTTGCCAAAGATTGCATCCTATTCCAGCGGTTTCGCAGTGCCAGCGAAAATGCTTTCGAGACCTCTCGCATGCTTCGTGCCATAGCTTAGGAGTGTTGTAGCCAAGGAGATGCGATGGAGCTGAGGGCTTTGCTCAGGTTTCTAGTTCTTGTCGGTCCACGTCCATACCAGACCCCGGACCTCGCTTCGAGGCTTTCTCGTAGATTCCAGGATGGGAAATGCCTGCCGTGTGACTTACGTGCGTTGCTACGCTCTGTGACAGCGCTGTGCCGCACGATGGTTTGCGTGCTCGTCTTGCTCTATTCCGCTCGCGTCATATTGCCGTTTTGGTTGTGTATTCCCACATTCTTTACCAGTCCAAGGTTGAGCTCTGCTCGTAACCCTGCTGATGATTCAAGTCTTGTCTACTTTCCAGTCATTCGTGCTATGTGCAGCTGTGCGGAAGTTTCTCGCGCAGTGCATTCTCTGAGGTTCCACAGCTGCGCCCGGAGACGCGAAGATCGCGGACAGAGCCGTCAAAGGCCGTCGAGGTGGAGCCTTTACAAGACCCGTTGTCGTGCATGACGTGCTCGGACGATGCACGAATCAGAGTAGAAGTCTCTTGGCGGAGCTGCAGCAGCGTTCTCATTGCTTGCCAGGCAGCGCTCAGTGACCTCAACGAGGATGTCGGCAGGCAGCTCTAAGCTCTAGAGACTCAACGAGCCTGCAGCCTCGGGAGGTCGGATCACGCGGCCTCTCAGCCGTAAAACGCCCCGCACCTCTGACCCTTCAGACATCTTGAAACTGAACCCTGTGCCCACGGCAGCGATCATGTCGTTGCAGGGCGCCGGTGGTAAGCGTGGACACGAAGAAAAGTCAATGCTCTTCTCTTGCATCGCTCCATCGCTCCGGCAGCGAGGAGAGGGGGATGGGGGGACACGGCCTTCCAACGGCACGTGAGCTTTCAACAGTCTACAGCTGTTGCCACGCTCAGAGCAGGAGATGTGTCGGGGGAGAGGTCGAAGAGGCAAGTTGAGTCTCTACCCCAGCCACGCTTTTTGTCTGGTGGAGTGCAGGTGCCTCAGTTGACAGTAGACGTGTACGACCACTTGGACAAGCAGGAATTCATAATCAAGCACTTCCCTCACTCAGCCTGTTGTTTTCGACGCCTTCTGTGTTGGTCACCATTTCTCAACATCAATCATTGCGAGGACTTTGTTGGATGGAAGGCTTGCTTGACTGAACTCCGATCTCAGGCCTCGCGAACTTCTCCTATCCTCCGCGCAGCCGGCCGAGCTGGCGTGTCTTCACTGCCCGTGTGTGGATTGCAGGCGATTGCAGTAACTCAGGGTTCATGTGACGGCTGATCGGGGTGGGGCCCTCGCTGCATTCCGGTGACTGCTTCACGTTGCTCTCCTGGTCGCCTTGACAATGCCGTAAAGCCCCAAGAGCTAAATCTGATAACGTTGAGGCCTTGCGCTCGCCAACTATCACGCAGGGAGCATACTATCTAGCACTAGAAGACCCGCAGATGCTAAATGTCAGCCGCAAAACCAATCCATCATGATGCAACGAGCAGTTGACCGTCAGATTTCGAAAAAGTCTGCCAAAAGCCGCTCTTGCCCGACCCCCCCAAACCTAAACCTCAAGCGCCAATCCTTAAAATCCTAAGTTCGTAAGTGCTGAAGAGTCTTGCCCTGATTGCCCGAAACGCCCGAAACCTCGCCTGCTTGCCGAGTGCGAGTGACAAAAAGTGCTGAAGACACTCCTCCCTTCAGCTTCCGAAGCCATGCCAATGGCTCGGTGGCCGGGCACCTCACGAGCTCTGCGAGGACCTGATCTCCTTTTCGAGTCGGATTTCCCATCGTTGGCAGAGAAGGGCTTCGAAATACTCAGGATAGGCAGGAGGCAGCCGGCAAAGGGATGTCGCGCCCGCAAGCAACAGTTCCGAGGGCTGGACGAGAAGCCTCGGGAAGCATTTAGCAGGAGCGTCGCTGGGCCTCGCCGTGCCGCAGTGGCAAGGGGCCGGGGTACTCGGCACAGGCACGGTGGATGCGCTTCGAGGCCAGGGCATGTGAGGTGTCCTGGTAAAATTCCATGCGCATGCCAGCTCCTGAAGCTGTCGTCTCACCCACTTCGCATGAGTAGGGCGATTAGGGCTTGCGTCCAGAGCGGTCACCAACGACTGGGGGATCTTGTGCTTGTGTCCGTGAAAGTGACTAGAATCTGCGAAACTCGGGCCGTACCGCTTTGCCTAGCTGAGCTGAGGCCGCAGTCTGAGCATGTTGATGCCTCCCTGTGCTCTGTCTCGTCGGGGTTCTAAATGTGCATAGGTGCTAGTCCTGACTCTGGCAGTGCAGGTGCCGAGCTGGCTCGCGAGGTCTTGCTGGAGAGCCTTCCTTCGACGCCGCTTGCCTGGCATGTCAGAGTGAATCCTTGAAGGGTCCGCCTCAACCGTTGAGGGTCCTCTTTCGGACTCCAGCGAGAGCTGTGATCGTCGCGACATCCCAGGGTTCCCATGCACCAGCTTCCAGTTCCAGAGCCGGAGGAGGGAGAGGAAGAGGATTCCGTGAAGTTCCGGCGAAGCCTGCGAAAAGATCCTCGGCCTCGATGTGAAGGATGCTTCTAGCATGCTGCGGACTGCCACTAGCGTTCGTACTCTAGTATCCATATATATATATATATAGATACGTGTATGTATGTATGTATGTATGTATGTATATATGTATATATCCATACAGTGTGTCGCATTCGACAAACTCGAGGTGTTGGCATCGGCATCGGAGCTTCTCAGGGCCGAGCAGCCCGCGCAGGCACAGAGAGGGCGCTTGCGGCGGCTCCGCTACGCACGTTCCACGGCTCTCCACCCGCCACAGGTTTGGACAGTCGGCGGCGACTGCTCCGTGGATCTGACGCCCATCTCTTACTTGGCTGAAAGGTGCGGAAGCGGAGGGGGAACCGACTTGGCAGCGGCATGGGGGGCCTTTAGGTGGGGAGCTGTCTGGGAAGGTACGGCGAACGGCTCTGTGTCGCCTATGTGGATGCTCACTGTGACTTGAACAAAGAGGCAAGGCAGCCAAGCCTAGGCAAAGAGGATCTCAGGAGGTAGGCCTTCTATGAGCCTTTGTGTCGGATTCCTGCGGGTTTCTGGGCTTCGGAGTGCTCGCCGGAACCGTCAAGCCAGCTGCTCAGATTTCAGCTCAACTTCGGCTTTACATGCAGAGCCTTGCTGGCTGCTGCCCTTACCATACGTAGTTGCGATCGTGCGTTTTGTGAGCTGTGCTGTTACGGGGCCGAAATCCACAATCTTTATGCGATTTTCAGGCTGGCTTGAGTGGTCTTTCTTCGGAGCCTTGCATGCGGTGTTTGTGATTCCTGTTGCTATATCATTAACTACATGTCACAGATCGTTGCAGCTTCGGTAGTTGTCCCATTCCTGTTGTAGGTATACGCCTATAGCGACATCGAAGTGTTTGTGTCGGGGCTGACGGGTGACAGAGCAGCAAAGATACCTGTACATGGGGTTTTCGAACCGAAAGTGTCGCAACCTGGAGTCTAACATGATCTGTCAAGAAACTACGCAGAGCAGGTCGAGTCACCTTCTGGCCACTTCCATGGCGCTCCGGCATGCATTGGTGGGGCTCATACAAGCAGTTACACGAAAAGGGGGTTGAGGATAGTAGAAACCCAGCAGCAGGAACACTCAGTTTGAAATTATGTCAGTCCCGAAAAGGTTTGTGCCATATCAGAGCACCCCTCACAGACGTAAAGTCCGAGATTCACTCTGAGCCCTTGCACGCGGCCGTTTCTCACCTACGACGTGTAAGCTTCAATAGTCGGTAATCAACATGTGGCAGGCAGAGTGTGGTATGCCCATAGAATCCTTTGAATGTTCGTAGACCAGAGAGAGTTTTGGGCGGGCAATTTGTAGTTTACCCTTTCTCTTACATGCTCCAATCGCCATGGGCATCCGGCGGCGACCCCTGGCAACGGCAACGGTTGTCGCAGTTCTTCTAGCAGCAGTCGACGTTTGCAGCGAGCTTGGTTTTGCGAGACCTGCCACGATTCTGAGCAGTGAGCTGCCGGCTGACATGCGCCCGTCGGACCACTTGCGGGACCTGGCAAACTCTGCTTACGCGGCTCTCACACGGGACAGGAAGGAAACGGCCGAGTGTTCTGAATTAGTGCGAGCCATCGCCGAGGAAGATCCTGTGCTGGCTGCTGTTTGGCTGCATGAAATGCGTACGTTGCAGGTGGAGCCCTCCTCGATCTGCTACGAGGCAGTGATCGAAAGCGAAAGCCGAGAAGGCCTAGCGGCTCAAGCATCAGCCACTCTGGCGGCTTTCAAGGGCAGCACCTCCGCGGATCTTTACACCCAGGTTATTGAGTCCTTGTCTTCTCAAGGCCATCTGGATGCCGTGCGAAGTCTGGAAATGAAGGAGTCCGGACAAACTCTCCACCGGCACGTCCAAGCGATTGAGGCTTTTTCCAAATGCGGCGACAGCACATCAGCAAAACGGCTGCTAGACGAAGCCATCCTTTCCTCGGTCAGGCCTGATGCCCGGGCTTACACTGCAGTTATCAGTGCTTTTGCCAAGGAGGGGAAGTTCGCTCAAGCTGAAGCAGTTTTCGAATTGATGGAAAACCACAGCGTCGCTGCAGATGCTGATGCTTGGTCTTGGCTACTCTTGGCAAGCGCAGAGACACGAACGAATCGGAAGCCGGCGTCCGATCCGGAAGGCATTTTCCGTAGTATGGTCGAGCGTGGAGTGGCTCCCACGACATTTAGCTTCCGGGCGCTGGGACGTGCCATCGGCTCTGAAAGGAGTGCAAAGCTTTGCAAAGAGCTCGGGCTGGCGAGCCGCTTCGCCGGTCGTGTGCGAAAGTCGCCAAAGCAGCGATGGTACTACGTCGAGAAGCGACCTTACCGAGATGGATACTTCCAGCCGGGCGACAAAGAGGACAGGGACGGAACGGAGAAAGTGTGGTTGGGAGATGATTCGATGTTCCACGTGGATCCGTTCCCAAAGTATTTCAGCTTCTCGCCGATCTTCAAGCCGGACAAAGACCACGGAACTCGCCGGCATCGGAAGCCAAACCTGCCACCCGAGGAGGACAAGGACAAGGAGTGATTCCGACCCCAGCGGCAGTCGGCCATGTGGTCATGTTTTGCTGACAGCCTGCAAGTTGGGAAAAACATTGCACCGGCAAGAGCGAAGCCTTGGAAACCCACCGAACCCCGGCCCCCGCTCCCTGAACTCCTTAGGGACGTAGGCGTCCGGCTGTGCCGTCTCAGGCATGAGCCTGCGTGCAGCTTTGGGTGAAGGGCCGCAGGGCTTACGAGCACCTTTCCAGGCCACTTGCATCAGAAATGGCTTTTGGAGGTCCCTCTAAGGCCGAAGGATTATAGGCCGAAGGATTGTTTGGTTTGGAAGTCCCATGTGCAGTGAACTTTGCCTTGGGGAGTAGGCTGCTAAGGCTGTATCAAGAGGAGCCAATCATGACTTGGTCATTCCAGGATTGCTATTTACGTTAATTCCAAAGTACCTGTCACATTGACGGAGACAGCAGACCGGCTCGGCTCTGCAGTCATCGTCTGAAAAGACGACTGCGTCCCTTCTTGCCCTCGTAAGGGCTTTTATCAAGATCTATCAGGATCCAATCGCTTGCACATCTCACTATCTTAAGTTTCCCCGTTTCTCTGAGGCCTAAGGATGCTCGAACCCTTCTGAGGTTTCGTAGCTCTTGTCACACTGGGCAGTGCACCGGAGGAGTAGAGGCCACCATGAGACATATCACGAAACTCAGCCACACAACGAGGCATTGGGTCCGGAACGCTTGGTGATGCTAGGCCGGCCCACTTGTGTTTGTGACGGTATGCTCACTTCACTTCTGCAGAGCTGTGGCAAGAAGCCTTCAGCAGCCCAAGGCATCATGATCTGCAAGCAGGCATTCGCGATGCGGATCCTGCCGAGGAGCAGTTTATCCAAGAGGCGAAGGCGCTGTTACTCTTGCAGCCCTCAGCTGCCATTCAAAAACACAGTGCATGCTGATGTAATTCATGAGGGCAGCTTCTGGTGGAGAAGTTTCCGTCAAGAAGACGAGTGCAACTATCACTCTGGTCAGGTGAAGAGGCTGACAACGAGGGATCTTCAATCCAACTTGGAGGACGCAATCAGAGCCCTCTGCCTGCACGTCTCCCCATCCTTCTTGAGGTTCTCCTCCACAGCCTTCTTTTCAACTTTCAACGTATCTCTGAGGTCGTGACAGATATGGCTGGACCGACCGGCCTTCTGCATGTTCATCTCGACCTGGATGTGATGGAGCCATCGGCGTTTCCCCATGTGACGCTCGGCTATCGGCTTGGGTTGGGGACTTCCAGACGTCTTAGGCAGCATCAAGCAGGTTCCTTGCCTTTCTTGCAGCAAAGGAACGTCCCTACAGCAGGCCACAGCTGGAATCCCATGTCGTTTTGTCAGTATCTTTCCATGGCGCATGTCATCGAATGCGAGTTTCATCACCACGGCCGCATCCACGGAGTGCACAGGAGGGCTGATGCCTGCCGAGCTGAAGGCCCTGCTGGGCCGCCTCAGTAGCCTCTCGGCCATGTAGTTCACTTCTTGCCTTGCAGCTCTTGCTAACCATGCCCGAAGCTCCGACGAACCTCGTTCCAAGGTGCCTTTGCTGGGCGCATTTGTGGTACAACTGTGACGGAGCTGCGGCTGAGGGACGAGGCGGACCTCGAGAGGGTTTCTACGCTCGGAGGATTTAGCCCCTCCTGCCGCCTCAAAGACACAATGCCAACTGTGCGGGCTGGCAGCACAGCCAAATAGTCACTCTCGCACAGATAGCCTGAGAAGTCATCATTGTCATCGATGGCACAATCAGCTTGTAGAGTCAGAACAGAAAATATGCAGACAGCAATCGCAGTGGTGTGGTGACAGCAATCGTATGTCGTCATCGGCATCGCCGTCCCCAACGTATCATTCGCGAGCTGTTCAGCCCTGGCCACAGGGATCTGAGCCGGCCGCCTCGGCGAAACAGTCGCTTGGTGAAAGGATAGGCCGCCGTCACGGCCTGCACAGCACGACGACGTCCTTGCTGTAACATTCGTTTACAGTATAATGCCGTATTATGCATGTCTGTGCTGTTGCGCCCCGCGTGTGGTAAGGCTGCTGTCCTCACTTCTTGGACAAGGCGGACTGGACTTGGCGGGTCAGGCTGGAGCCTTTGACCATTGCTGACAGGGCGGCACACACGAGGCGCAAGGTGCAGTCAGCAGCTTTTTAGGCACCGACATTGCGCAGGTTTCCGCCTGGCAACCTCCGGAGTGACCTCTGGCTGCGTCGGAAAAATTCGGAGTCGGCGGGCGCTGGTCCACACAGCTTTACAAGATCCTACAAGTTCGAAAACGATAGACAGATCATAGCTGCCCGGGGGCACATACAAGCTCAATCTCGGTGAGCAAAGCAAGCATGCAAGCGTTCACACCAAAAGATACCAAAAGCACTCGTGTAAATGAGCCGACGAACTAAATAATAGATACTACAGCTTGAGTTAACATTAACACAGTAAGATATCGCCTGCGACGTCAACTAAACGCACGAACGCAAATGTGTGTTGGCATTTTCAGGCATTCTCAGCTGGCCAAGCGTGTCCGACAGTAACTTCTTTGCATGCTGCGCTTGGCAATCCTTAGACTAGACGCATCCCACTCGTATTCTTCCAAAGGTCCCATTTTGCAATGCTTTCCAGCTTTGTTAATATATGTGATGCACTCCTTCATGTTGCTCCCCAAACTGTGTGCACAATATGTTTAAGCGCCATGACGGTGCAGAACAACCCTTGCCATGTTGAAATCCGTTATATAGGATGATGCAGATTACCGCAAGGGGCTGCGTCTGCTATCATATGGGTCAGTGACACAACCATTGCTCGAGCCGACGGCTTGCTGAGCCAGGCAACTTCGCAATTTGTTCCAGGAGGCGTGTGCCACGCAGAATAGAGCATTGCGACGTGACTGACCGACGATATCTCTCCATCTGCCTTGCAGGACCTGCGGCTGCGCTCCACAGTGCTGCTGGAGCCCAGCCCTTGGATGGAATCGGCATCTTCCGTGCAAAGAGGGTAGGCAAGGCGCAAGGTGGAGTAAGGCGAGGTGTACAGCCGCGTACAGCAGGCATGATCAATATTGATCAAAGTTTTCCTGCTGTCCCACTGTTCACAGTCTCCGGAGTGCGGAAGATTCGAGTCGTGAAAATGTTCCTTTCATGACTCAGATGGGCCGCAGCCGACCTTTTCAGCCGCTTTACTCTCCAGGCTCGCAAGTTTCAGGAAGGTAGGGACTGCAAGGCAGTTCAGATGCACTCGTGCCGCTCTTCACCGACACCTGGCACAGCATACGTTACGGAGCCAGGATCTACGGAGGTAACCCTTTGAACCACATCCCCCCAGGAGTGTGATTGCTTGCTAAAATGCAGCCGTTCCATAGTTTTAACTCCCTTAATTTTGCGCCTCATCCCGACCGAACTGGTTCGAAAAGGCCATCCTGGAGATTGTCGTTGCCCTATTGCTCGAGTTCCGCGTAGTCGTGGTGCCACGGACCTGCTTCATGGGTCAATGTGCGATGAAAGGCACTTAGGCCCGAGTTGCAACATGGGAGCTTTCGAAATGCAAATGCCAATATGCACTCGCACGCAAAGAGTATCAGCGCCAGCATAAGATTTGCTCCAGCTGCCCACATCTCTCTCTCTCTCGCTCTCTTTCTCTCTTTCTCTCTGCTTAGATGTCATTCCATGCACCTAAACCTTCGTGTGCCGGTCTCTCCAGCAGCGGCGTGCTGCGTTGGAAGAGGAATCTCTTGCACCAGTCATTCAGCTCATAATCCTCAGTGCAGCATGCGGCTTCCAGAAGGCGAAAAACAGCTTTGAGGCGGAAGAATTCGAGCCCGCAATTTTCTGGTCGCCAGGGCACTCGTTGGGTCATTGATGCTCTTATAGTACACGTAGTCAGCTCTTCTCGGAGCAGGTTTTTAAAAGATGAAAAAGAGAGCAGGACACACTTTGCCGGAAGCTCCGAGGGTGGTTGGTCTATTATGTTTGAGGTCACCGTGTTCATGAGATCGTCTTAGAGCCAAGTGAGGTAAGCCTTGCTTACCTCCTGCGACGAGACAGTCGAGACCCTGTGTGGCGGTCTCCATGTCCTGGCCACGGCCAGGTCTCCCAATCCCCGGAGTTGGCCTCCAAGTTGGTGCTCGGTGCCTCGGCTGGGGAAATCTACCGAAGCTCGAAACATTGTTTGCCTTTGCAGACATGCCTGAATCCATCTGAGGCTTGAGCTCGCTTCTGTGGCCTTTCAGCAGCTCTGCTGCACGGGCACTGTCAGACAGTATACGGAGTACGAGCAGTACGAACGTATTTCTAGAACGAATTAAAGGTGCACCCCGCAGCGTGGGAGTTGGCAGGGTGTTCATCAGATTCAGCTTCGTCGTCGAGGCAGATTTGGGAGGAACTGAGCATGGTAGTTCAAGAAAGCAGAAGTAAGATAATTTTACATAAGCAAAGGTCCAATGCGGGGGTTTCTGAGCGTATTGTCTCTTTTGCGACGGCGCTCCAAGTCGTGATTCGCTATACATCAGGTTGGCAGCATCTTCTTCTCCCGATCTGCCCGGCATACCTTCAGGCAGATGCATGCAACCTTAGGCGCTGCGTTGCTACGGCACTAGGTTCTGTGCCCTCTTTCTGGCTGGTTCGTTCAAACTTGGACATTCACGCAGATGGAGCTTCTTGCGTGCGTATCCATACAATCATACATACATCGAAACATGTGTTGTTCTCTCCCCGGGGGATCTGAGCTCTGTGCTTGTGCCAACCAGGAGGCCATCATAGATGCCCCAGTGCCTTTCATCTCCGCCCTGCCAGAGGTCACTCCGCAGGCGGGACTTAGAAAGGGGGGGGATCTCCTCCGGGCTTGGCAGCTCAGCGCAGTCCAGGTGGCGACTGCCAGTGGGACGGCTCCGCCACGAGCCAAGCTTTTACGAGGCAGATGAGGTGCTGAAGCACCGACTGGACTTGTTGGCTTTTCAGGAGATATTCAGTTGCAACCCGTGTGCCGAGTTCGCTGAGCTAATTTCTACACTTTCGGAGCCGCAAAAGCTTCGCCCTCTGTTTCAATGTTGATGCCAAGCAGCTACGAGGCTACAGTCATTCTGTCATGTCTGTTTAGTCAAGAGCACAACGCAGCACTGGGAGCACATCTCAACTCCTAGACGGTCCAGCCGATGTAAACGAGCACTCCAAACATCATTCAACTCACAGCAGGTACAGGGCTGTAAAGTGAGCATATGTTGGAACCCTTGTCCTCCAACCTCTAGGCCCTCAGCGATGACAGTTCAACAAACCTATGATTCTCTTGTGGCCGGCGTAATGAACTGCGCATTGTGCTGCACGATGCCGCCAAACGAACTCTAAACCTTGCTCAGCATGATAAGGCTGGGTTACATCCTACTGTCGTAGCCCTACCGAACCATTATACATCATACTTTTGGATCTACCTTCCATGCCATGTCGCCGCTGGACCCCGGGCGCACAGAACGGAACGAGGAGCTGCCAGAACTCCGAAAGTGTCGGCAGCCCAGGGCACACATTTGCCAATATGCACATATGCCAGTATATAGACAAAACGAGCGCACACACCCACGCATATTATACTATACACTTTTGTATTCGCGTTTGCACGTACACGCATATACACATGTGCATATGCACATATATATATATATATATACATATGTATATTCATATTTCTTCGCTGATAAATCTACCCATCGCGAGTGCCAAAAATCTTGCTATCCCTGTCCCTCTGCATGCCCGGCTCATAGGTGATGGCAAACTTACTCCTCGGTCACGGCCTCCTGCTGGACCTGCACGAAGACTGGGCAGCCGCTAGTTCGTTATGTTGAACTTCAAGGATGGCTGTCCAGGGCTAGCGGATTCTTGCTGCACGAACATCCCAGTTTCGCTGGCTAGCCCGGTCTTCTTCGCAGGCTTGACGCAGGGGCGTGACGGCTAGGGGGGAGTTGGGTACGGTCTAACAACCAGAAACCCGGACGTAGCCGTGAGTCACCAGGCTTCCACGACCACGTTTTGGACAGTCCTACGTCCGATCAGACCAGCACGGGTGGTGCCTACCCTGAGGTGCACCGAACGAACACGGGACGTTGCTTTCGGGGAAGGCTAGTAAGAGTGCGTGGGGATCTCGCATCTCATTTCCGGCTATTGGGATACTGCCACTTGCGAAGTTCGAAGCAGATGTTTCAACTTGAATGTGTGGCAGTCTTGCAGAGTAGGTGGCACCGCCAGCCTCGTGTTTCGCCCCGCGGCCGCCAGCAGAGCTGCCGTCACGGAGCACTGGGCGTCGTGCACAAGGAGAGCGGGCAACCTGCCAAACGCCACGGCAGAAGGGTGGCTCCACAAGCTCCTTGACCAACACGCATACAGTTCAGTGTCATCCCCAGCATCGGCTTTAAATTGTTTCCGACATCGGCTCAGGTCTGCCGCCCGTGCCGTTGACAGCTCGAGAGAGACATTGGCAGAGCTCCGACCCCGGTGCAAGCGGCAGCAGCGTGTCTTCGGCACGCCGCTCTTTGCCAGAACGCGATGGCCGGAGCAGCAGCCAGCATGCCCGCACTGTGACAGGTGCTCCGTCGAAGGACACGACATCTTGTGCAACTGTTGTGCATGTTGTTGTGCCTGTGGGGAACCGTCCTGGCCGTTGGCAGGAGCCGGGCAGCAAGTCCGAGCCAAGCTGCAAGCTGGCACAGACCGTGAAGCCGCCAAGCCGGGAAACGGCGTCGCCGGTCTTCGCCGGCTACGCCTCGGCCCCCTCTCCCCAAAGCCGCGGGAGCCGCGAGGGCGAGGGCGAGGGTGGTGTCGCCTGGGAGATGCCCATCTGTCCAAGCCCCGCCGGGCCCTTTGCAGCTCTTTTTGCTCCGCTTACTCGGATTGCTGCCTTCACTTGTCGTCTGCACTGTTGGAATCTTATGAAGTTCCTGTTGCAAAGCCATGCAGGATCAAACCACATGTAAGATCCTCATTGCGTTTATGCTGGTTCCCATCTGTTCGCAGCCGTTGGTCGGTCGGTCGGTGTATGTGTGTGTGTCTCTGTGTGTGTGCGTGTGCGTGTTTCGTTGTGTTTGTGTGCTTGGAAACAAGCGACTGCTGCCTTCCGTGAGCTTCCGGCTGGCATCTGAGGCCATACTGGACGTGCTGAGTGACGCATTGGGCCAGGAGGATGCGCGGCGGAACAGCTTCTAGGAAGCAACGAGTGCGAAAGAGATGGCCTGGAAACTCCCTCTCATAGCATCGCATAGCCCGGCGGAACAGCAGGGCACAATGCAGGAGCTTGGCAGAGTTTTGCAGCCTGACCGGTGGTGCAGACTGTACTGGCCGACCTACGAGGCAGCCAGCCGACCTTTTCACGGAAGTTGTTTCCTGGCTGAGGCTTTCACGACATCATAACGGTGCTTTGGCTGCAAGACAGGCCGATCTGCGGCAGACTCTCTGAATCGCTGTCTTCTTCATGACAGGAGATGGAGCGCGAGAAGGAGCCTTTTGTCTGGTTGTGACCCCTGCTTTTTGGTACAGCTGTGGCCGGTCTCCAGGAGTTGTGGAATGAGAAGATGGTGGCGCTGCTGTCTTCCAGCCCCAACCCGCCGGTCACGGCGACGGTCCCCGACCCGGACCCATCGCAGCTGCCGAGCGACAGGGCCTCGGCCACCGAAGCTGAGGCCAGCATGACATGACGCTACCTTTCTTTATTGCTTTCATGGCTTTCTTTAGATGTCGGGTGAGCTGATTTGTTGAAGGTGCCCTCGGAGCTTGACGTGGCACCCCCGCCTCTGACGGTGGAGCCGCTGAAGGAGCTGGAGAAGCCATATAAGTCCTTTAAGTCGAGCGTGGCTTCCTCCCATTTGCCAGTGCTAGTCACCAGCACCCTTGAGAACGATGCCCGCCTGAAACAGAACTAAGCTGTGAGCCGCAGGATGTCGACCTTGGAGAGAGCCTTATCGCCCGTGCCATGCGTGAAGCTGGGATGGATCCGGACCGGTAGTTTCACCAGATGCTGTAGTGAGGACATCGTCAAATCAGGCGGCCACATGACCTTTGGGACTTCTGGGATGCAGGTAACGGGTAAGCTTCAAGACATGCACTCTTGAGTTGATGTTGTTTTCTGCCCTGGTGCTCGGGAGGAATCGACCTCAATGGTCGATCTCTTTGCGACTGCCAGCGATGCTGATCTTGCCGAGGAAATCAGCGAGGTGGGTCTTTAGATGAAAACTGTCCAGAATGCTTACCTGCTCGCGCATGAACAGAGACAGATAAATGCGATCTAGCCGCTGCGAAGTGTGTATGCCTAAGTCTGGAACCTTGCTCCGAGCCCCTCCTGATCTGAAGTCTCTCGCAGGATGTGACATCTCTGCGTGGAGCAATCAGTAGAAGACACACGAAGAACACAAGGGTGCACTTACACTTGTGTGCACGACAACCCCTACATACGTTCCATCTGCTCCTGTTTCCATGCACATGTTTGCATGTACCACATGCATGCATAAGACGTCAAATAGCGCACATGTGGTGTTCGGCCATTTGGGGGAAGACTGTTTGGCCTCGGAGGCCTCCACGAGCCGTGGAGGCTGGCGCTCCTCCTCCCGGAACTGGGCAGCCCAGATGGCGCGGAGGAAGAAGGCCCGCTGGCTCTTCGTGACTCTGTCGGAACAATGGTTTGCATGCATGTACAATTTCACACATACACGCCTGCACACGTGCTTTTCTGGCATATTCGTATGCTCCTCCTTTCTTAGGCAAAGCTCAGCAATTCAGTGGCAGCAAAGTACGCGGGTTGAAGGCACTGCGCAGATACATCTGTACATGTGTTTGTAGGACGTAGTCGCCTACTTGGTGTCCTCGTTTCTTTTTGCCGTGTTCGTCGAAGAATTCATTGGTTTAGTTCGTTCGTTATTCTGGCACTCAGGAGACGCATTCGGTCCAGTCTCTCATTACAATCATTCCTTTCATTCCGCTCGGTCTGCCTATTACACCCAATCCAGTCCTAGCATCATTCCGTTCTTTCCATGTGTTCCATGCGTTCCACCTATTCCGTTCTTTCGTCTGGTTGCTCGTTCCATTCATTGATTCTTCGTACCTTCCTTTACTCGTCTTCAGCTCCCCAGTACCCGGAGGAGCGCTGCAATTCCGGGAGGGCCACGCCCTGCAGCGATATGTAGCCGCGCGGTGCAAACTCCCCACAGTCTCGGAGGTTGCGGAACAGCTGAGAGGGTCTTCAGGGTTACGGTTTGTGGGGGGGGGGGGGGGGCCGGATGATGCGGTGGTGATTGAGGCCTAGCAATCGTATCGTGCTCAGCAGAAAGTGGGATGACGAGGGTCGGCATGTTTACAAGCCTTCTGTCGGGGTGTTCCCGCCTGACACCCTAGTGGCCTAGCGGACGAAAGAGCAAAGGCCGTCGAGCTGATCTCATGCCAGCCTAGGCTGCAGCTCAGGCCCATGCCGGCAGGAAGCGCCGCAAGCCGTTTCACTTCTGAGGGGCAGTCCTTTGGACAGTTCCTGGCAAAGGCTCCCTCATAGTGTGCCCCAGATAAAGAGTAAGAGTAAGAGCCAAATCCATAGCACATTGCTTAGTAGGAGTCTGTGCGTGCGAAAATGATCATGCCAGCCTCCAGCTGAAGGTGCAACGTTGAAAAAAGACTGTCTCATGCAAGGTTTGGGAGCTTTGACAAGGTACAACCGGATGCCTTTCGCAGCACAAGCCAGTACATCAGACAGCCCTGCCTCACCGCTTTGGCTCAAACTCTGCCACAGGGGCTGCGCTTTTGGTGTTGCCCTATTCAGACGCTTGAAGTGCAACAAAGTGTTCCCTTCCATTGAGGGCCTCGTGCATGTACTTCTTGGACAGAGGCTGTGATCTTTCTGTCTGTGGGCAGCTTTGGAAGTGTTGAAGTGCTTCAGATGAGGGTACTTTTGGAGTTCGACTGCATCGTACCAGATATGGCTTGGTACTGAAACCTCAGCCGCAAGATCGGCGAGCAACCCATGGAGCCGCACGAACAGTTCCCACAAGATCTATGCAGAAGGACCTTCGTCTTCCCACCCTTTCAGCCGGAGCCGAGGAATGTCTATGTGAAAGGTGCTTCCCTGGCTTCGTGCCAGGCCTTCGCCTTTCTTGGAGGATGGGGTGCTTTAAGGTGATCGGACTTTAAACCAGGAACTTGCGAGTAGCTGCGGAGCAGCCGAAGAATGCATGCAGTCTCATCACCCCTTGGATCCGACAGTCCGACAGTGCTTCGTGGGGTAGTCTGGGAACCGTCTTCCGTGTGTTGAGGCCTTCAGAGGGAGTCCTGTCGAACGAATCGAAGCAAATTTGGCCAGGATTGCTCGTGCACCTCGCATCCCCTGCTGCAAAGGTTTCCAAGATGGACGAATCCGAACAACATGTACAGAATTCACAGAGGCCCGGATGTGATACACGAATTTGCAGTCAGTCAGCGAGGCAGGGGTTAAGGGTTCACGTGCCCGTGCCAGGCCGGTCGTCGACACATCTCGCAGAGATTCGACATTGGCTGCTCTGTTCATGCTTTCCGCAATGAAGGGAGCGGAAACTCGGCCGCAGAGTGGAAGCCTGCAACATAAGCAAAAGACTCCGTTCCTGCGCATCTTCTAGCCAGGACATACAGATGCTTCCATCTTCCTTCCGTGCGATGGAGCACGTGTCCAGGCGGCATAGCAGGCAAGCGAGACATGTCACATGGTGAGGTATGGTGACACCAGAGCTGGAATGCCAGCTTAGGATCTCCACCTGATGCCCAGCCAGTGAGGCACTTGGCACCACAGCTGTATGCCATTTCAAGGCCGCTGCCGCCTCGACTGCCCGAGTCCGGGTTACCTATACCTTGTTTCCTGACATAGGGTGATGCTGAGCTTTGATCCTGCTGTTCCACTGCCAGCTGAGAGACTTCGTCTGCGCTGTCCGAGTTGCGAGAGCGTAAATCGTCCACTGTAGCGATCCCGAGGCTTGCCATCCTCGCGCTTTGCCAAGGCCTTTTCGAGAGTTCGGGTGTTGGATGATGTTGGTGTGCAGCGTCTTGTTTCATCGCGCTTCTTCTGGGATCCAGTGCCTAGCCTAACGGGTAGCCTCCACCTCTTGCATTCCGGCGGCCAGCGCTGGTGCAGGCGTGGCATGTGCTGTCTCCGGGCCCATCTGGGGGAATCTTGTGGACTCTGGCGCCTCCCGCAAGTGGCTTCTGCAGGCACACGGGCCCAGAGGTTTCACAGAGATGAGATCAGATTGAGCTTTCGCGATGTGCAGAGGTGGGCGCCGGGCTCTGGGGCCTCTGCACGATCCAGCTGGCCTTGACTTCGAATTTCGTGATCATGATCGTCCTCCGGGCTGCCAGTCTGCAAGAGCCGACAGCAGTCCCGCCTTGGATTCCTCGCCTGTCAGCGACGGTGGAATACCGCAAGATGTCGTTGAGGCGCTTAACGGAGCTGCGTTGGCGATGATGGCTCCTCGGACAGGACTAGCCGGTAGCCGCTTTCAGCTCGGACGTTGGAGCGTGGCAGGTGCCGGTGATGCAATCCTTCGTGGCAGACTTGACTACGTCCTCCAACTGTGGGTCGGCGTTCGGCAAGGCCCCGAAGCATTCCCCCCAGTAAAAGTCTTTCAAAACTCAACAGATGTTGCGACGCTTTGAGCTCAGCTCGCTCTTGGCAGGTCGCCTGCGCTGCGAACGTAGGCCAGGTCTTGGCGTGTCTGATGGTGACGCCCATCTCAGATCCTCAGACTGCAAGTGTCGTACAGTCTCAAAGCCTAAAGCCCTTTCGCATCCCGATGCTTTGCATCTTCGGAGGAGAGTGTGGTTCACGGCGTGCGCGGCTGGCGACTATCTTTGGCCTTCGTGGGGGTGCTGAGCCTCTTCTGCGTGCCTTGGCCCAGAGTAGAGGTATGGGCCTAGAGATGCTGAGAGGTCGAGGCTGCCTTGGGGCGCTCCTGGCAAGGTGCTCTTCGTCCGGGTGGCCGTGCACGAGGAACCTACGGTCTGGAAGCCGAGGCAGGCCCCGAGCGCCTTCGCGAAGAGGGTGGGAGTCGCTTGCGCCCTTGCGCCTCTCCTGAGTGTGGACAGCAGCTGCACTCTGGTGTCCTGTGTGAAGTTTGCCAGCACTGCTCCTCCGTATGTCATGCGATTGCGGCCATCAGCCGCGGAACCGAGCAAGGAGATTCGGGATACTCCGCGAGATTCGCACGATGGTGCAGTTCATGAAGATCCCGACATTCCGTGCGAGGGACTGAGAGAGTAGCTGCGAACAGGGAGAGCTGTTGCGTGGTGTCATTCAGCGATGCATTGCAGAATGAATGGCCGTGAGGGCTTTCAATCAAAGCCCGTGCTGAAAAAGGGCATGAGACATCGATGTCTGCAGCCGTCAGCTTTACTAGACTCCCCCGTCCTGTACATGTGGGCGTGGGGTGCGTGCGCCATGGAAGTAGTCCATATAGCCACCCCAAGAGCTAAAGAGCCGCACCTCAGCACGTCTCAGGCTTCGCATTGTTGAGTCCATGCCAATGCCCAACCTTTTACTCACAACCCTTTTGAGTCGAGGCGTGATTGTAGCAAAAGTCTCCAAGCTGCTACATGGATGGCCGCGACCAGCGGCCCCGGCGTGTATTGCAGCTAGATGCACTTGACCTTTCTGTCCGTCGTGTGATTTCTCCAGCTCCTGAGTAGTTCCTGCCTGCCGACGGGTCCGGAAGACCTTGATTCAAGGTCCAGCGTGGGCTGCGACTCCTGTAAAAGCACACTCTTTCGCGGTACATGTGTTTAAAACTGCGTAGTTGAAGCTGAATGCAGGCTTTTGAGATTCTGGCCTCTTTTTTGTGGGGAAGTGGCAGAATATCCATGTGGCAACTAGGTTCAGGTGTGCAGCGGCTGCTCGAACGAAGCACGAGCCCGGCATGCTGGGTTTCTCCCCCGGCATTCGTTCGTCATAGGCGCTACCCATGATTTTTTGAACCCAGGCGGCTCGTTGAGATAAGCAGCTTCGACGACCTGGCAGCCGCTCACCCGTGATTTAGAGATATTTGGAGGTCTTATTAAAGTTATTATTATGGTGTGTTGTATTTTCAGTTGATTAACATCACTTGTCCTATTTTTATATGATGATGACGATGATCATGACTATGCTTATGGTGATAATGATGACTATTATTGGATTTATTGTTATGGCTGTGGTTCTTCATATTCTTCTTCTTATAGTTCTGAGTGTTGTTACAATTATGATTGTTATTGTTGCTAGTGTTATTGTCAGCATGACTGTTTTGATTATTGCTATTGTTATGGCCTGGCCAGTAGTAATTTTTAGCAACTTATAAGATCTTGCGGAGATTTCATGGACGTACCGCCAAAGCCTCAATCATGAACGGCCGTTCCAGGTAGTAGCTCCCAAAACCATTGCGTGGGATTGCCCAATAACGTCCATGGCGAGCGAGTACCGGAGAATCCGAGTCGGCCTCATGGACGAGACCCTGTAAGCTGGAAAGCCACTTAAAGGATCATGGGACTTGGTAACTAGGGTTATAGTTAAGGCAACTGTACGTATTTCTTACTTATAACCCCACTTAAGGTACTTATAGCCATACTTACTAAGTCCCATGATCCTCCAAGCAGCCTAGGTTGGAACTCGCATGCAACAGGATCCCGAAACAGCGGGTGCTTGGAGAGGCTGGCCTGGACCTAATTGCTCGGAAAGCTTGGCTTGTCCCCACTCTCAGCTGCTGCTGCTGTGGATCGAATTCCAATGAACCCAGAAGCTAAAATATAAACGTCGATTGATTTAGTGGTTCGGTTTTGACATACCTTGTGGGTCTCCCGCGTCAAGGACTGCTCTTAGTCTGCATGCTAGCGAAGTCCCGTTCGAATCCTTTGCGAATATGATACCAGGATACCCAATCAACTCATAATTTGATTGGATGGTTTGGCGTCCTGAGATGTAAGTATCAGTGAGCAGCTGTACCAAGAGACCTCGTCTGGCTTGTCCGAGTTGCGAGAGCATAACTACTAACTAGTAGAGGAATTAGCCCATCAATTTCGATTCAAATGCTGCTGAAATAAGCGCACGCATTACCATCGTCGTGGATCTCAACTGGCTGCTTCCACTTATTCTTGAATGTCTTCGTCGGCCCCTCCCCCATCAGCGGAAGCCACCGTCTTGCTTGTGGGTCTCCAGCACTCGGGAAGGCAATGGGGAGACAGATGAGCTGCTTGGCATGGCAAGCCACGCGAAGAGAGCACAGCTGCATGCAAGGAGACGGCAGGAGCCTCCCAGATTTGCTCTAAGCTGACAGCCGAGGAGTTTGGAGGGATGGCTCAAGCCGCCCCCGCCGAACACGATGAGGGAGCCGCCTCTGCCCCAAGATTCCTGGACCAACACCTGGGTCAGAGCCTGCGATGAGAACAAGAAATGGCTCGCCATGGCCTTCTGCGAGGACAGCCGTCACTACCCTTGGTGCTACTTGTGCGGTGCCTCGGACTTTGGGAACTTTTGGTTTCATCGGTTCACCTCCAAGTAGCCGCGTAGATCCGTGGACGCCAAGGCAAGTGGGCAGAGGAGGACCACCTCAGGGGCGCGAAATGCGCAGGGAAGCGTGAGCGCTTCAATGTGGTCATGGGCCCTTTTCTTGCGGAGCTCTTGTCCAAGGGAGCTGCGAAGAGCGAAGCACGCCTCCTGCCTGGAACCTTGCAAATTCCAGCGAACTCCATAAAGTGGTTCCCCATGAATAATTTCAACAACCAAAGAAAGGCGAAAGCCTCCGCCGGAGCCAAGGACGGCAAGTTCCGGCTCCGGGAGAGGAGGAGCAGCCGAAGTTCGTTCCGAAGGCCAAGGCCCCGCCTCCCGTGGCGGCTCCGAGGCCGAAGCCGCCTCCCGTTGACCTGGGAAGAGCGAAGCCCTGCACGGGAGGGGCCGTGCCGGCAGGGGCCCCGCCTATAGGGCCCAAGGCGAAGCCTCCGCCCATGGGGCCTCCAAGACTTTGGGACGCAAACTTCGGGAGTCCCACACTTTCTGATGGTTGTTGTACTTTCTGGTTTCCTATCCATCGCGGAGAACTCTCAAGAGCGCGCGCCGCACGCCGACGCTGCACCGAGGACCGCGATGCCGCAACGAGCACTGCCACACAGCTGCGTCTATTACAGTAGGGTTTGGCCACTGGTCGCTCCGCTTGAAGACAGCTGAAGCTCGAGGCAGCTATCTGGCTCACCCAGAGATGGACGAGTTCGAAGGCGACTCGATTTGCCAGAGGCCGAGTTACCTTGAGCTGCAGAGTATCTGAGTTCGCTTTTGAGGCTACTGCTGCAAGGCCTGCCGAAAGTGGCTGCAGGAGCGGCTGCGATGTTGGGAAGTCCACATTTAGCGATGTCGCCTGACTTCCGGCATCGCCAACAGGAGGGGTACAAAAAGAAGACGCACCACGGGCAGCGCTGCCTGCGGGAACCCGCCCCCGACGCTGCACCAGAACCGGAGCCGCAGCCCGTTCCAAAGCCGCCCAAGGCACCTCCAAGCGCCTCGGACAGCATCCGTAGCCGCGGCCCACCGTCGGACTTGCGGGCACTTCTAGAGAATCATCGCGCTGCCCTCGGCTTCGGGTGTGCTGACTGCGCGAGGTCGGCCTGCGGAGGAAGCGATGAAGTTTACTCCACCGAGTCACGTCGGCTGCACTGGCGAGGGCGGGCTGAGGCCACTGAAAACGATCCCATCCACCTGGCCCCGGTTCACTCCACTAAACATCGTTTATTTGCTAATTACCCAGCCAGATCAATTCGACATTCGCAATCGAGGCAGGACTTCAGAGGGCGAGCCGGAGTCAGAAATGGAGCCCAGCGTGGCTTTCAAGCTGCAGGCGCCGGGCTTTGTGGGCAAAACTGAGGGTTATGTCCCGATCGAGTTGGAGTCTGCAGTACGAGATGGCAGTGGCTAAAACCTTGAACTGGAGAGATTGACTCGAGGCGCGCTTGGCGGAGCCATGCATATTTCGCAAGAAGAAGCTGAATGAGGGCATCCCAGTAACTTGGACGTACAGTGAACGTGGGGTTGCGAACATGGCGCCACCTCAGAACAGGCGAGGCTGAGTAAGGCCAGAAGAAGCTTTAGCCGGGCCAAGAGAGAGCTAGAGTTCAAGTCTAAGCAAGTTCAACACCCCGCCAAGCACGGCCTGAAGTCGCGCGTTGCGGTCTCCTTCGCGCTGACATCTGACGGAGGTCTCCAGTGGCGTAGACCCGTCGGCACCTGAAACCAAGACCAACTTCGAAGGCTCAGCGGCCGGGGCAATGCTGGAAGTACTCACACTTAGGGACTTAGGGCAGGCTCCACTGACAACTCTGCTTGGGATACCTTCACAGCCAGCTGCTAGAGATTCAATGTGAGCCCGAGATTGCCCAGCTTCTGGTTGAAAAACGACGCCCCAGAATCGGAAATGGAAGGGAACGTCTCTGGAAGGCAGCGTGCAGGTGGTCGGTGAGCCTGTCGTGATCTTCCTGGAGTCAAACGAGGAGTCCTTCGAGGTGCGCTTGGGGCATTCCTGGAAACATGAACCACCGAGATTTCGTGAGCAGCAATATCCGTACGAAATAGGAGCGAGTATCGAGTTCCCACAAGCTCTCTTGACGAAAGATGCCCTGCTCGAGCCTGGCGGTCTTTTGACCCAGATCTTCGTATCCCTCCCTTGTCGCCATCCAAGAGGTGCTGCGCGCACCGATCTGGGATGGCTGGATCACGCTGGCTGAGAGAGGGGAATGGAGCCCTGGTGTATGGCCTTCCTTCTGCCAGACTTGGATTGGGATAGACTGGATGTGAAAGCGCAGCGATTCTCACGTAGGCTTGGGTCGCTTAGATGTAAATCTTGGACGATCGCACTAAAACAGAACCCGAAAAGTTCAGCAAAGGAGTCCGCTCTGCAGCCGCTTTGCTGAGCCGACCTCGGGCTGGCATCCAGCCTTCGCATCGGCGAATCACCTCGACAAGGCCCCATAGCTCCTGCTCCCACGGATCCCACGCGTGCACTGTGCTTTTCACCTTCGCTTGGCCGCGTGGCCGCGGCTGGGTCCTGCCCCTGCTCGTGGCATTCTGAATGCTTGCAAGCAGGAGTGGAAGCAAGCGGACAAGACGTGGCAGCTTGCACTGCAGCAAGACCGTGGCGAGAGTGTGCTACACCACAACAGAACCGTCATGGAGGTTTGCGAGCTGCCTTACCTGGCAGCTGTGAGTGTGAAGTAGAGTCTGGATTCTTTTGGAAGGTTGATG